TACATGTGAGGTTAAAAAAATAACAACTGCTGAGATCTTATGTAAACTACAAGTTTCTCATGGCTGCAAACTGGAAGACTTGTGATAACGTGTTAGGTGAAGTAGACGTGGCAATACTTATGCGTGATCCTTTCTTTCTTCTGAACTTCAGCTTGCTCAATTATTGGCGGAATTGAACTCAATGCCAGACTTCTTCCCGCTCCGAACCCCGAACTCAGCTTCTGTAAGTGGAACTCCTTATATGTATTGATTCCAGTACTCATGCACACAGTCGGTTGCTAGATGGCTTTCATTCCAGAAAGCAGCCAGTTGTGTGTGTCTGTGATCTCACCTGCAGAAGAAGAAAGCAGTGAGGCGGGCCTTCTCAGAGGGACAGATCACACGGCGCACCAACCCGGCCCGGAGCGCACGGCCTCCCGAGAAGTTCGCCCTGGAGAACTTCACCGTGTCGGCCGCCAAGTTCGCAGAAGAGTTTTACAGTTTCAGAAGAAGGAAGACAACAAGCGGGGTATTTTCTGACTATAATGAACCAATGCTTCTTTGTCTAAGCCAGCGGTCCTCGCACGTGAGCGTTCATCACAGCCCTCTGGGGCTCGGTGAGAGCGCTGAGGTTCTGACTCAGTAGGTCTGCAGCAGCTGAGAAGTTGCATTTCAGCCAAGTTCCCAGATGCTGTGGGTACTCCTGGGACCGCACTCGGAAAAGAACCCCGGGCCTAAGCTTGCGCTTGGTCTAAGCTGTAGGCCATGAAGCGGGTCCTTCCTCTAAACCGAGCAATGGTTAGGACCCCAGCTTCATCTCCAGTGGAGGCTGTAAAGGGCTGATAACGGCAGCAGGTGGCTTCGTGGTTTTGCTCGTGGGCAAGTACAGTGATGTCTCTGGTCTTTCTGTTTAGGAATGGGGAGTTTGGAGTGCTTTCAGTCTAGAGCAAGACACTTTGGACCCTTCCTGTTTGTGGCTTTGGCTGTTCAGTGTGGTTCACTTCCCCGGCCTCACAGAGCTTGCCGCAGGTGACCATTCACTGGTCAGGGAAACCCTGAGCTTCTGATTTATCGTTCTGTGTCACCTTGCTATCAGGGAGGCTTGGCACTAAGGATAGGAGCTCAGCAAATGACTAATAAAATGTATGAATGATTTCAGGGAAATAGAAGAGGGACATAGTTAACATTCATGGTCCTAGAGCTCTGAGGAGCTTAAAACTTCTATAATTTTTTTTTAACTGCCCAAACCATCTAATGCCCAGTTCTGCTTTGGCTCGTTCTGCAGGGGAGATGCCAGGGATATCGACGACGTCGCCGTGTATCTTCTTTTCGGCCAGTGGAGGACATCACTGAAGAGGACTTGGAGAATGTGGCCATAACTGTTCGAGATAAAATCTATGATAAAGTTCTGGTAAAGTATATCTGATGAATAATTCACATGATCGTGACCTATACTGGGAGTCCCAGGCACCGGTATTTGAAATCCTGCCTTGTTTTAAACTGTATCTGGGCTTACGCATTTGTGCCGTCTCCCCAGGGCGCAGAGGTGGGCTCCGAGTTGGAGCAGCTATAACTGGGAAAGGGGAGACAGGTCTCTCTGGGGGATGCATATTATTATCTGTGGGGGGAGGCAGGGGTGTAGTCTGGAAAAGCACAGTTGTAATTGTTATATTTTAAATAGTTTTTATGTTTTAAACGTTGAAAAAAATAATACGCTTTTATAACCAAAAGAAATATATTTCCAATATAGTATTAACACATATTGAAAACGTTATGTATAATATATATTTTATATAACCAATAGAAACTAAAGTTTGATCGAATATCTTTGTTAGATAGGAAATGTGTTCAATTTTTTCTAAATGGTAATGTAGAGGATGGCTTTGTGTTGTTTTGCATCCTTTTTAGATAATGGGACAGTGGCTTAAATACTGTTTAAAGGTTTTCAATTTAATTGCCAACGTTTTAAAACCAGGAGATTTTATCCTGAACATAACCGGATTGCTAGGAGCTGGGTTGGAGCCGTGTGATGCTGCCCAGGGCTTATCATCACGCAGTCACCTGTCACCCCTGTGGGCTCCGGTCTCTCCCATCATTTCTGTCCAGCTGATCATTTCATTTCTCCCAGGCTCCCTGCTCAGTCTCATCCTAAGAGGCTTCTCTGGCCCCAGAACTAAAAGTGCTTACAGGCTGCCAGAGAGTGCCCGTGTTTGTACCAGAGGAACAGCACTGCTCGATTCTGGGGGAGAGGCAGGGCTGCTTTGTGCACTTAGGATATCCGTGTGGCCTCGTGGGCCTCCCCCTCCAAATCCCATGTTCACCACCCACCGCCTTCCGCCTCAGGGTAACACTTGCCACCAGTGTCGGCAGAAGACCATTGACACCAAGACGGTGTGTCGGAACCAGAGCTGCGGCGGGGTGCGAGGACAGTTTTGTGGGCCTTGCCTGCGGAATCGCTATGGGGAGGACGTGCGATCGGCGCTGCTGGACCCGGTAGGCACAGTGCTCGCCTCGGCCTGAGTTGTATTGGTGAGGGGAGCAAGCTGAGGACGGGGCTCCTGGGCCGTCTGTCGGGTACCTGCAGCTGCAGAGCTCTGGGTTTTGTAGACCCCCCTCACCACCCTCCTTTTCATTCTGCCTCTTGAGACTGGCAGCAATGAAAAGTAGAGTTTCCTGCCCTAGATAGGACCGGAGAAGAGACTGCGTTTCGCTTTCCAGGGTCAGAGGCAAGCTTTCTTAGAGTTAGGGTTTGTACAGGCGAGCCTGTGTCCCTTTCCTCCAGCAGCGTCCTTTACCTTGGATTTGCCGGGGTCAGGCCCCGGGGGGGCGGGTATACCGCGGTGTAGGGTGCTTTCTGTGCGCACCTGCACTGCTCTGAGATTTCACGTCTGTTAGTGCAGTTTATTTCAGTTGTTATTCTTTTAGCCTCCCAACACCTTGGTTGTCTCTGTAAAATGAGATAATACATAGTATGAGGGTTAGTGTGTATGCCCTTGAACCTGGGCAGTCTGGCTCCGGAGTCTGTGCTCTTAACTGCTGCAAGACCTCTGATGCAGCAGTCATGGGGGTAAATACTGTCCCTAGTTTGCAGGTGAATGTAAACTACTACTCAGGTTGAGTGATTTGAGAAACCCTATGCTCTCAGAAGCAGGGCCGACCTCCTGGGCGTGTGACCTGTGAAGTTGTAAGGGGCCCTGCACTTGCTCTGATACCTGAAATTCTCCAAAACTTTTTGAACATACGTCTACTAACTATGCACCTGGTCCTGTTTAAAACCAACACGTTTCAGTGTTTCTGCATGCGTGGTCTGGGGTGATCAACCTTTCTGGACCTTTTTGAAACATGCGAGGGGAAGGAGACATTAGTACCTGTCACAGGGTGAAGGATTCTCTGAAGAGTCTCAGGTGATTAAAGATTGGTGGAGAGGCCGAGTGATCCAGGCTCAGTCAGAAGCTCATCTTGCGGGGAGAGCCTGTTGATAACGGGGGCGTTTCTGCTGCCATTGCTTCCCTAGGGTTGGGTGTGTCCTCCCTGCCGGGGCGTCTGCAATTGCAGTTACTGTCGGAAGCGTGATGGTCGCTGTGCCACAGGCATCCTCATTCATCTGGCCAAGTTTTACGGTTATAATAACGTTAAGGAATATCTGGAGAGGTAAGCCTCACAAATCAAAAACAGAGGTGGTAATTCCCGGGTGCAGCCGGGGAGACCCTCTAGGCAGGTACGGGGTTGCCTTGTTTCAGTTGCTTCTTAGAAACCACGTCGAGTGCCAGTCGTCCTGTGTCTGTTTGCATTGGGCAAGCTCGGGACTGGTATTTTCCCTATCGGGAAGTTCCCTCCTTTGCTAGAATTTCCCCCTGATTGCCTCCAACAGTAAAGAGTCTACAAGGCAGGCTGAGGGAAAGCTGTGAAGGTCCAAGGCAGCCCTAAGGAGAGGGGAGGCTTGGGCCACGTGCGCTTGGACCCTCGAGGAGGCTGCTTGTAGGGACGCAGGAGTCAGGCGGGTGGCCCTGGGGGCTGGCCCGCACCGCTGTGTGTGCATGAGTCGGGCCTGAGCTGGTGACAGGAGAGCCGGTTCGGGCTTGGTACTCTGGGGGATGGTTGAGCCTCTAACCTAGGATGCCGCTGTGCTCGTGCCGCCGTCCCACTAATGCTTCCCATTTTTTCTCAGCTTACAAAAGCAGCTGGTAAAAGACAACTAAGAAGAACCAGCCAGCTCACCATGGAGGACTCCGACAAGACATGCCATTTGTGCCTAAGATTTCTTATGGTTGTGTTCGTATACAGAAATTCTTTGTAGAGCTAAATACTATTTTTTTTAAGGATTGTTTGTTTATATACTTCAAAAGATTTCTCAGGAAGACGAGAGAGGAATCGACAGACATGCATATGCAGGCCTGTTTCTAGATTGAATTAAAAGCATAGTTTAGATGGGGGGGGGGTAGAGTTACCCCAGAGAAAACATTGTGTAAGCAGCTCTTGCCTTTGTTGCCTTGATCTTTTACCTCCCAAACCAGTCCCTGGAGGCCAGCTTGTGACGGGTTACGTCCTCTTTAAGGTTACCTTATCACAAGTGACCATAGTTTAAGCTGCTCTGGGTCATTGGAAATTTATATTGCAAATGTTCCCCTAAATTACAAGGTGCAATTTACCCGTAGAATCTTGAGTTTTATTTTTGTTAACGCTTGAACAAAAAGTGGACTGTCAGTCACATTCCGGACACTGGAGGGCTGCTGGCCAGCAGGAGCGGCTGCCTGGGGCCAGTGGCTTCTATATTTTAAAAGAATATAAAGGTTAATACTTTTTGTTTATCTACAAGAACTAGGCTCCCGCGTGTATGGACCGGGAGGAGACTTCCAACCATATTGTTTTGGAGGTTCGGTGGAACGTTGATGAAAATGGGATCTATACTGTACTCTTTTTTGTGTTGCAGGAAGGCTGGGGAGAGCTAAAAATGAACAGATTTTCAGTAGGGTTCCCATCTTTTTTTCTACATTTGCGTCTTTTTCTACATTTGCTTCTTTTTGTGCTTCTTTTTGTCCCCCGTCTCTACTTTTCAGAGATGGTGTTTGTTTAAAAACAACGAATGCACATTTTAAGTTAGTTACTTAAAAGGTACATAAGCTGGACTCTGTTTTATGCCTCTCAGTAGGATAAACGACCGTGCGGGAACAAGGACATCTCTGCGGTGCTCCGGCGGGAGGAATAGAAGCCCCTCTGCAAGGGCTGTTGTTACGCCTCCAGCAGGAGGGCCACGCCTGCCAGGACCCACTTGGCCGCCTTCTCTTTGCTCTTCAACCTGAAGGTCCAGACGCGGTTGGGGCCCCTTGTTTTGGTTTTGTACACAGGGCACTCGTAGGTGTGTTTGGTTTCCTGTCTGTCCGCGGGTATGGCTTTTGCAAAGATGACTGGCATTGCAGACCTTAACTCCTTGAGGTAGGCGTCCACGATGGCTCCTGACTGGCTGTCCCATCTGGCACCTACAGCATAAACCCAAGGGTTACAACCGTGCTGTATGTTGGTACTGAGCCTCTGTTCGTTGCAGGCAATAAACGTTCTGGTTTTGTCACTTCACTCCTCGTCAGTGGCTTCCTTAGCGAGCTGGCCCATGACTGAGATGGGAAGGAGGTGAGGGTACTTGCTGCCCAGGGGCCACGCATACACTGTAAGCAGAGACTCTTCTTGCTCCTGTGCTAAAGCCTGAACTCTCTCCTGTGAACAGTAAACTAAATGATCTGAATTTAAAAGGTGTAAACCTTGCTTACATGAAAACAGATTCCGTGAGACAGAATCACAGATGCAGTAAAGCAAACTAGTTTGTCCTTCCTTTAAAGAAGTGCATCTGCATATGCTTATGGTCAGTATAAGACATGTCCAACTCACCACATTCCCTCCCCACTGCACCTTCTTTTCTTCGTCTAAGTTCAGGTCACTTGTTGTTTATACCACCTACCCCGCCTTTAAAGCACGTGCCACACGTGTTCAGATGTTGAAAGTGAAAAAGGAGCATCTTGGCAGAGACTTGGAAAGCATTTCTCCAAGTGCCCTTTAAGGTAAGAGGAAGTGTTCTACAAGATAAGAGCATGGGTGAATAAACTTGGAAGATACGGCATATTCTACCCCTTCGCCCAGAGATTCACGATATGCATTGGCATCTTTCTTACAGGCTTAGAGAGATCTGGTATTTTACCACAAAGATGAAGTTAAACAGTTTTCTAAAAAGGAGAAGAAAGATTTTTGCACTGATTCAAAAGCAAAGTAAATTCAGTGTATAGGTCTTTAAGTGATAGCCATGGCCTTAAAATTTGGCTCCCATTGGACACACATCCTATGTATCTTAGCATTTAAATTGTTCGAAAGCCGGAAACGAGGTAAATAACCACCAGTGTGAGAGAGTGCTGCGCAACGGAATAAACAAAGGACAAGTACCAACTTGAAGCTGAGTGAGAAAGGGTCACTCTTTGGGACATCTTACCTTCCATGAGGAGCCCGTGGAGGTATGCGCCTTCCCTGGGGGGGTGCCCATAATCCTCCTTCCTTTTTTTGGTAACCTCAACAGTCAAGCACATTTTATCCAGTGGCCACTCGTTTCTTCGAGCCGTGGTCTGCATGATTGCTTTGGGAGGAGGACGGACAGGAATGGAGTAGGATAAAGCCACAGACAGAAGGGTCCCGGGAGCCACCCGTATAAGCTGAGCATCTCCCTGAGTGAGGCGTGCTTTGGCCCCACGGGGTGTTCTTGGGCATTCCACGTGGCTGCACTAGAGCAGGGGTGGGAAACGAAGGCCTGCAGGACCACCTCCCTGCTTTGGTGGACGGAGTTTTACTGGAACGGCTATACCCATTTGGCTTATGCTCTGCCGTGCCAGAGTGGAACCGATGTGAGAGACCGGGCAGCCCGTGACGGGAAACGTTTACCGGGGTGAACCCCATCCCACCTCTCTTAGCTGCTCCTGTCCTGCCGGGTGTTTTGTTTCCTCTGTAGTGGCCAGGGCAGGGGGAGTGGCTGGGGTTCTGCTAGGGGGTGTGACTCTGTCAGCATCAGGGGCCGCCCTGCCCCAGCCCTTACCAGTTAAGAAGGACTGAGGGTTGAAGAAGCCAGAAAGCCACACCACAGCCGGAAGGGCAAGATCTTGTGTCCAGGTATCCAGTTCCCGACATCGCAAGAGGAGGTCATTAAACCTGGTGAGTAGAAGGTAAGAAGAAACAGACTTGCTTTTTGGTAATAAAGTTTTTCAGTAAGATGAGAGTCCGCGGGGTGAAGAGTGGTGGTAGAGAGGTCCACAACTGATAACCAGTGAAATCGTTAGCTGGTGATTTGCAGAACACTGTCCCTTTAAAGGGCTAGATTATATGTCCCGTTGAGATTGGGGACGAGAAACACTGGGAAACGTGACCGAAAAATTTGCCTCCGTTTATTCAACCACTATTTTATTTAGATCCGCCCAGTGATACGTGGTGATCCTACACAGGTGATCTGTGTATGATCCGGGCTGACAGATGCACGGAGGTACAAGGGACACACGGGAAAGAGCACCCCCCCGTGTGTCTAAGGATGGCGAGGGGAAGGTTGCCAGGAAAGGCAGGGGCAGTAAAACGTGACATTAGCCTTCCCACGTGCAGTAATTACCTGAAAGCGGGAAAGGAAAGGCTATTAGGGAACCAACCATCTTCCATCCATCCAAAGCCTGTGGTGTGAGAAACTGCTGTTTTTACACAGGTTCTCTCATCCCGTGGGCACAGCAATTAGGCCAGGTAGGAAGTATCTAAAATTTACCTGTGAGGAAGCCAGCTCACAGAAGCTAAGGAAAAATGAACTTTCATAAAATGAGGAGATACTGAAATGTAGGTCGAAGGACTGCTAAAAACAGTAGGGAAATGGAGCACAGAGCAAAGAGCCCAGGGAAAAAGGCAGCAAAGCAGTTCTCCAGGGTGAGGGCCACAGCAGGTAGCACTGACACTTCCTGGGACCTTGTTTCGTTCACAGTTGCCAAGGAAGCAGGGTTGAGTGAGAAATCACCCCGACACACCACCACTTGGAGGAAGCGTCTGTCTGAGACTGGGCCGTGAAGGAGGAAAGGCTTTTAAACGTTCACATTTAAACTTGGGTCACAAGGAAAATTCCTGCCAGGTTAGAACATGGCCCTGGGCCTTGCCCCATATTAAACTCTTTCAAATAGTTGGTTTTAGGGAAAACATACTCCATGATAGATCCCACAAAGAAGAAAGGCAAAGAACAGGAAAAGCAAGGATAAAATGTTGTCACAAGAGGGTAAACACTGCAGCAACAAGTTTTTCTAAAAATGAGTGATTGTATAACAAGATTATGCATTAAACAGATAAGGTAAGAAAAAGTGAGGAAATTAAGTTGGAAAAATCTCAGAAAAGAATTACAGAAATGAAAGCACAAAGTAAGCAGCATAAGGCAGAATAGTAAAAAAAAAAAAGAAGAAAAAAAAAAAGCAAAAGTAAATGGAGAAAAGGAGTTAAAGAGAGTAGAAATAGGACGAATGCTGAATGAGACAGCACACGTTTAGTAATACGGTTCTAGAATATGTGAGTTTTCCTAAGTTACAAATTTGAATCATTATAATCAGGGACATATGTTGCAAGAAAATATGACACATAATAATCAACACTAAGATACATCTTAATGTGGACTGGAGACAGAGAATCCTCTGGACAGCCAAGAAAAAATACCAAGTCTTTATATAAAGGGGAAAAAATTAGGTTAGCTTCAGACACCTCCACAGCAGCATTTAAGCAGAATAGAATGATGCCTACAAAGTCCTCTGACAACGAATGGGCTAAATTACTTTTATAACCAGCCAAACTGTTATTTGAGTATGAAGACAACTGATTACATGGCCTGAAAAACTACTCGCAAATCCAATAAACAGGAAGGTATAGAGAACCCAAAATATAAAAATAAAGAGGAATCTGAAATCAAGACTTTTAATACACTTGTTTAAACTTGAGAAAGATAAAGGGTGGCAGTCATAAAAACAAAATTTCAAAACTAGGTTAGGCAACGGATTAATCTCCAAAATCTACAAGTAGCTCATTCAGCTCAATATCAAAAAAACAAGTAACCCAATCCAAAAATGGGCAGAAGACCTAAATAGACATTTCTCCAAAGAAGATACACAGATTGCCAACAAACACGTGAAAGAATGCTCAACATCACTAATCATTAGAGAAATGCAAATCAAAACTACAATGAGATATCATCTCACCCCAGTCAGAATGACCATCATCAAAAAATCTACAAACAATAAATGCTGGAGAGGGTGTGGAGAAAAGGGAACACTCTTGCACTGTTGGTGGGAATGTAAATTGATACAGCCACTGTGGAGAACAGTATGGAGGTTCCTTAAAAAACTACAAATAGAACTACCATATGACCCAGCAATCCCACCACTGAGCATATACCCTGAGAAAACCATAATTCAAAGAGTCATGTAGCAAAATGTTCACTGCAGCTCTATTTACAATAGCCCGGAGATGGAAACAAGCTAAGTGTCCATCATCGGATGAATGGATAAAGAAGATGTGGCACATATATACAATGGAATATTACTCAGCCATAAAAAGAAACGAACTTGAGCTATTTGTAATGAGGTGGATAGAGCTAGAGTCTGTCATACAGGGTGAAGTAAGTAAGAGAGAGAGACAAATACCGTATGCTAACACATATATATGGAATTTAAGAAAAAAAAATGTCATGAAGAACCTAGGGGTAAGATAGGAATAAAGACACATACCTACTAGAGAATGGACTTGAGGATATGGGGAGGGGGAAGGGTAAGCTGGAACAAAGCCAGAGAGAGGCATGGACATATATACACTACCTAACGTAAGGTAGATAGCTAGTGGGAAGCAGCCGCATAGCACAGGGAGATCAACTCGGTGCTTTGTGACCACCTGGAGGGGTTGGCATAGGGAGGGTGGGAGGGAGGGAGACGCAAGAGGGAAGAGATATGGGGACATATGTATATATATAACTGATTCATTTTGTTGTAAAGCAGAAACTAACACACCATTGTAAAGCAATTATACTCCAATAAAGATGTTAAAAAAATAAATAAAAAACTAGGTCAGGTACTTTCCCCTCCCCTCAAAATAAGCAACATGAAACTAAAAATTCAGGGGAGAAACAGTAGGCAAGAGAACGGGAGACAACTGAAGATACAATGAAAATCAGCCAGAACTGACAGACTCACCCGGAACACACAGGGGGACACACAGATGGAACAGAATGCGAGTTCAGGCAGGTGAAGAGAGTGGCAAGGGCAATACTTGGAGAAAGAAAGGCTAAGAATTTTACAGGGTGGAAACACCTGTGGCCTCCCATTTGTAACAGCACACAGTACCAAGTAAGATGCATTTTTAAAAGACCATACCTAAATACAGCAGTAAAAATTACAGAGCATTGATTACAGAATATTAGTATATTAAGGGTCAAGAGAAAAAAATTCTTAAAAACCTCCCAGAGACAATAACTTCGTTGTGAAGGAATGACAGGTATTTATGAACAGACTCACTAGCCCCCATAAACGCCAGAAGACAGTGCAGTTATAACACTGAAGTTCAGAGAGAAAATCATCATATCTAGAATTCTACATACAGGTAGACAGACCGTTAATCGAGTGAGAGGGCAGTAAAGAGAATTCAGACACAATACCATCTGCTCCCCACCACGTACACTGGAAGCCTGCCGTGTACTTCCTCCTTTAGGGCAATGAAGAGGGGATCCAGGACAAAGGAGCCCCAGGTGAGGTGCGCACAGCATCCATGCTGCCGCTGGTGGTGGTTTCAGCGATGAGTGGCATTTTTGCATTCCATAACTGCAGGTTCCAGAGAAAATCTGACAAGTCATGCTTGATTCAGCAGCTCAGAGAACCTCAAGCCCAGTTTCTTTCCTTTCCTCTTTGCCTTTTTCAGTGCTGACCACATGGCCCCAATGTGGCCTGAACTTTACTTCCTGAATTTATGCCAACTGGAAAGGGGCTCACTTTTATTTTAGGATTAAAAGTAAATAGGACCCTGTGCTAAAGGCATAAAAGACGAGAAAGAAAAGAAAGATACAACAGAAATACAGAAGTTTTGCAAACATCTCTCAGGGAACATCGCTTTGGTGGCTATAATGCAGCAGGGCAATTCTTAACCATATCTATGGCTGATGGCATGGTCTCTGGATATGCTCTTTGTGGCGAGAAAAAAAAACAGGTGGCTGAGCTTTAAAATAAGTCATCTGACATGATTTTTGCAAGTGCACAGTAGCTGAACTATGACAACTCTCTACAGGTCAAATAAATTATGTTGTATACTTTTAACATCATTTTTCTGAATGATATATATTCCATACCACAAGAGTTTTATAACTGCGTTTTCTCAAACACGTCAAATTCACCACAGGCCATCTTTGCAAATGACCTGGACAAAAGCATCCTAAAAACATTCCCAAGGGACAGTCTGTCAACAGCAAAAATAAGTCTTGAAAGGTCTTTTTGTCTTGAAATGATAGAATCTCATGACAAAAGTTTAAATGGTTTTACTTCTCTATTTGTCATGTATACAGATTACTTATCTATAAATCACTTATATAGAAGAATTAATACTTGGATTGTCTTGGGAGAAACATGAAATCTGTCTCAGTCGTCTGTCAGGTGGAGATATTAATACCAGTTCTACCCAAATCATTTGGAGTAGGAGAGCTTATTTGAAAATCAAAGTACAGGAAAGAAAAAAAAAGCAACAATGAACAAAGAAATCTATACGTGTTATTAAGCAAAAATAATCGCCGACTGGGGCTTCCCTGGTGGCACAGTGGTTGAGAGTCCGCCTGCCGATGCAGGGGACGCGGGTTCGTGCCCCGGTCCGGGAAGATACCACGTGCCGCGGAGCGGCTGGGCCCGTGAGCCATGGCCGCTGAGCCTGTGCATCCGGAGCCTGTGCTCCGCAACGGGAGAGGCCACAACAGTGAGAGGCCCGCATACCGCAAAAAAAATAAATAAATAATCGCCGACTGTAAACAAAAAAATACTGTGGATTAAAATACAGTTGAACTACAGTTCCAGATCGGGAAGAGCTTAAAACGTCTAAAGGAAAAAGTACTGACTTTACGCTGAGTTAGAAACACCAAAAGTGTTTATGTTACAACATCAAGAGTCTTCCTAAAATAATAGGAACTGTACAGGGATAAACATGGGATAAAGAAAACTTAAACCAACAGAAGTCAGAAAAGTTTGGAAAAGAAGCAGCTAAGAAAAATATAGAATTTAGGAAGCACAAAATAAGACAGTGGAGATAAGTCTAAAGTTATTGCTATAAAATTTAAGTGTAAATATAAATCCTTTTTTTGATTGGAAATATAAAATCTGAGTTTAGATATTCATAGCATTAACAGAAATCCATTGAGAGGCTTTGCTCACTCTTCCCTGCTGTGATGCTTTGCTGCCATCTGTGGCATTTCCACAGGGCACCTTCGCTGGGTTTGCACACACACACCCTGCACCACCACCCCCAGCAAACCCCTGCGTGCCTGAGGGGGGGGCAGTTCCAACGTGTGGTCACTTGGAATTCTAATGGGACCTTCCAGTTTAAGGATGAGCGTAGCATTCTGGTTCGTGGAAGAAAAATTTAGGAAGGTGAGAAGAAAGAAAGAATGTCCATGTGGAAAAGCCAAGAATAGAGCCAGCCTTGTGAAACTTCCGGTGCTGACTACCAAGGCCGAGTTGTGGTTGGAGACAACACTGGCTTTCAGGGAGCTGTGAATTTCTGTCCCTGGCTTTGTGGCACATCACTGCGGTCACACCCCCAAATTGAAGGCAGTCTGATTTACCGCATACCACTTTAGGAGTTCGCTGTGAAATGGCATTAGTAATCACTGGCTTCGAAAATAAGGGTATAACATGATGTGAGGGTAAACTTAAGGGTGCCTCCCGTGGCCATTTAAATCCGATCCACTCAGGGAGGGAATTCTGTTCTCCACATTTTTCAGATGAAAAACTGAAACACAGAGGTCAGGTATTTTGTCCAAGATCAGATGCTATTCAGTGAGAAGCAGAATTCGAATCTTGCTCTGAGCCTGACTTCTAATTGAGTTTTGCCTTTCACTCAAGTGAAACTGGTGGTGGTTTGCACAGTTATGGCTGAATACAATCACAAAGTACATTTTTCATGGTTCCTATGAGGCATAATTCCGAACACCAAACCAGCCGTGAGGCTGGCGATGGCTGGCAGCAGCAGGGGTGGGGCACTTACCACAGGGCCAGGCCGTAAGTAGACGGGTACGCCAGTTTGCTCCAGCTTTCTGGTACTGCATCGTGACTCAGCGCAGACTGCTGGGCTTCCGTGTCAGGACACAGCATCAGCTCCCGCTTGCAGGGAGAAAAAAGGCCACATAGTATCGTTTAATGTGAAGAAGGCTGCTCTAGTCTCACTTTTAAACTTACCTTCAATCCGAGATCTAATTGTTGAAGTGACACCCGGATTTCCCGAAGGAGAATATTCATCCTCTCACATTCTTGGAAGCAGACAAGGACATAGGGGCTTCTGTCTGGGCTTTTGTGCATTATCTCTGCCATGTTGAACTCTTCTGGAAGTTTCTCCAAAATGTCATCCAAGACATTCTTAACCTTAAATCATTAACAAACACAAAGATTTAGCTCCTTTCTATTTCATTTTTGGTCACGGTGACTATATAGCCTCTATTTTTTTTTTTTTTAAGTCTAAGACTGTATCATACGACTCCCAAAGATGCTTGCTCATGAGTTTAAAAGATGCCTACTAACTCCCAGGAGGGGGGCAGAGTGGCACCGCCAACTCCCTCAATCGGTGCAGCCCTCCCCTCCTTGACATCCCACAGTCTCGTCAGGGAGGTGCTACTATTTGTTTGTAGTTTATTTACTGTTAGCATTTAGGGAACATAACTCTCTCTCATCGACTACATTTCATTTCTTTGTAAAGACATGATCAGAGGATGGAGAACCCCAATATCTGGGTAGTCCATTTTGCAATCTGCTATTTTAGAAAAGTTATTTGAAAAGTCGCATGAACCAAAGATGCCCTTTACACTTGAGTTAATTCTGGTGACTCTGCGATGCTGCCCTTGCAACTGACACATCCTAAAATTTGGGGGGCAATTTGGATCAATATTTCCAACAACAAGGAAGCCTCTATCTTTTGTAGCTGTTGCCCTAAAGAAATGAAGGATTTGTTCACTGAAGACGTGCATATGTACATAGTACTCTGATCTGGATATTTATTCCAACGATGCAGTTTTACAGAGCTGGGAAAACCAACAAATACCTAAGAAGGACAAAAGATTGGAAGATATTGCCTGTCTTCAGCCTCAGGCAGCTTTCCCTCTTTCATTTATTTCTCGCATTATTGCCTGTGGCTCTGACGGGATGCGTGCAGATTGCTTTATTAGCACCCTGGCAGGTCATTTGTCAGATCCTGAAATCTTGAGCTTATTTACAGCAGCAGTACAGAGTATGAAACACAGTGCTGTAGAGAACTTAGGTCAAAGAAAGGCTTTGGGACTCAGCTACAATCTGGTTTCCTTCACTGGCCCTTTCTAGCTGTCTGGCCTTGGGAAGTCACCTAAGCTTATCTCCAAAAGAGAGATTCCGATACTACTCAGAGCTGTTGCAGATTAAATTGGCATATTTGTAAAGCACTTTCTATAGTGCTTAGTATATAAACACCTAGTAGATGGTGGTTGGTACAACCAGTCTGCTTGTAGGAGATGCTGAGGCATCTTTACCTCATTTGCTTTGCATTTTCTGGTGTGATGATCAGCTGCCTCCCTGGAGAGACTGAAGCCCCAGAACTAGATGAAGACCTCATCCACCTCTCTGCTTCTATTAATACTATAGATCTTCCCAAATGGATGGATTTTTAAATACGTTCATCTTTTAGAAAATCTAAATTCACATAGGGAAGATGTTAGTATATAGGATAAAACGTGCTGTAACAAATTCTAAAGCTTCTAAATGACAAACAAGTGTCTCAATGAATGGCCTCCTTTCAAGAAATAATTGAAAAATTTCAAGAAATAATATGGCAAGTTCCTGGGACCTCACTATAATTAGACCTGATGTTTACTGTGTTTCCACACACTGAATCCTTGATTCATAATTCTGAGAGAAACAGAGGCTAATTTATTGAGGGAAAAATAAGCTATTCAGGTTTTAAATTAATGAGAAGTAAGATTTTAATCCAAAGGTAAAAAAAAATATTTGATGTCCATTTCTCATCCCCATCATTCTACGGTAATAAGAACCTTCAAAAGAAGGATAATGCCAATCTCCCAAGGAAAGGTGAAAAAAGACACTAACAAAATGACAGAGCCAAAAACACACTGCATGAAAGGCAAGCCACACATGTGGAGAAGAAATTTGCAATACATACACCTCACAAAGGACACACATTTGAAATAAAAGAGTTCTTACAAATCAGTAAGAAAAAGATCGACAACCCAATTAGAAATTGGGCAAGCAAGTGGAACAGGTACTTCACACGAAAGTGTATCCAAACGGCCATAAGCGTATGAAAAAATGTTCAGTATTATTCCTTAACTGAGGAATGCAAAGTTAAAACCACAAAGAAATACCATGACTCCTAACAAGACCCCAAGAAGCAGGAGCAACTGGAACTCATACACACTGCTGGTGGGTGGAAGTGTGTAGGAGTGGTTGTACCACTTTGGAAAACTGGGAGTATCTACTAAAGCTGAACATTATACCCTTTGATCCAACAATTCCACTTCTGGGTATACAGGAATGAGTATTATGAGCAGATAGCTTTGGGAGTTAACCTTTGTATGCTGACAAAAGACTATACAAGAACGTGCACGGCTGTGACAGTCATTGTAATGAAAAGCTAGAAAGAACCCGAACACCCATCCCCTATAGAAGGAGCAAATTACGAATTTTATATATATAAATAAAGAATTACATAGTAAAATACTAAACAGAAATGAACCATTGGTTCATGCAGCGACATGGATGAATCTCACAAATCTCACAATGAAATGTGGAGTGAAAGGAGCCAGACATAAATTAGTAGTACATCCTGTAAGGCTGCATGTATTTGAAGTTTAGACACTGGGAAATCTACTCCAGCTAGTCTGTGGCGACAGAGGTAAGGAGGGTGGGTACCTTTGGCCTGGGGTGGAGAGGGTACTGATCGGTAAGGGGCAGAGGTATCCTTTTGGAGTGCTGGAAATGTTCTGTACTTTGATCCAGGTGGTGGTTATGTGCACACGAAGGTAAAAACTTCACTAGCTGTGCACTTACGATTAGTGTACTTTACTGTATATACAGTATAACTCAACAGAAAAGAAAGAATGACCCTCTACCTTGTCTTCTGTGGACTGTCCCAGCCCTTCACCGCTGAGTGCATTCCTGGGCTGCATCTCCAGCAAAGCTCTGAAGAGAGTGTTGGATGTGACTGTCAGGAATTCTATTTCAGCATCTGGGTGGAGGCCATACAGTGCTGGGCTTTCCGGAGGAAGCATCTCTTCTATGTACTGGTGGTAGCCTGAATAATCCAGATTGGGTGGGGCAGCAAATCCTGGTGCCAGCATCAGTTCACCATCAACCTTCAACCACAAAGGAAAAGTCAGTTATTCCAAATCTAAGTGGACATCAATCTTCATTTCCCAAACACCTGTGAGAACAGTCCGGTAAGATGGTCCCAGCACAATGCTGGATCGATAGCGAGCTCTCTAGAATATCTCTTGACCCTCTTGTAATCAATCACTCTGCTCTGTGTATGGTACCACGCTGACCTCTGGGGAGGAGTCCAAGGAACACACATGAATCCCATCCTTAAGAAGACCTGGTTTGCGGTTTGCTTGGGGTAACACGATACATGCACACAAAGGGAACGGACAGGTGCTGAGCCATCTACTGTGTATTGGTCACCCTGTTGCATGCTTGAACTCATTGATTCTCCCAGATATCCCCATTTCGCAGAGAGAAATTGAGATTCAGAGTAACTTGCCTGGGCATATGTTTGATTTTAATCTTAATTCTGAACTCATTTTAGTATGACTTAATAGTACTTAATGCAGTACTACTTCAAACTATTTTATGTATTATGCACGTAGATTTTGTAAACATGCATAATTATATGTGCCTATCTTAAAAAATACGTGGGAGTGTGTGTAACTAACATGTTATAGGGCAGTATACACTAAAAGTCAAATGAGTGCTACCTCCCCGTGGCTTTGAGCTTCTCAGGGCAGAGTCTGTGTAGCTCATCTCAAGATCTGTAGACCCTGGGGCAACTGCTAGCTAGCACATACTGGTGCTCAATCCAAAGTTGCCTAATGAGTGAGCGGCTGGAGTTATCAGGCATTAATCACACCCATCCACTTCATTCAGGCCGGGGAGAAGGGTTAGACATTCCACCGGGAAGAATGTTCTCAACCAAGGCAATGCAAGCAGAAATACCAAAATGTAACTAAACAATTTATGGGCCTCAGTCTCTGACCAGCTATAAACGCAGTCAATCCAGCGCTTATACTTTTCTGGTTAACTCAGTGTAATCTCAGATTTTTTTTCCCCCTGATTGTTCTTTAGTTCCCAGGGGACCATTACACTTCTGTTTAATTTTCCCGGCCTCTCTTGCTGTGAATTCTGTCTACATGCACTTAAATGTACAGGGAATGCTAGTTTTTAAGAACCATCACCTAATGTAGCTATTTTAGGCCTAGAATTTTAAAATCATTTTCTGAAAATGGGGTTTGTCTCTGTAATTGTGTACGTTCATGCTATCTGGTCCCCTCACTATCACCTGGAGACAAAGTGACTATTCATTAATTCATTCAATCGTATGAACTGATCACCTAGTATACCCCAGTAAGCTGTGGAAGTATAAGAGATGCGTATGACCTAGTTCTTAAGGAACTCACAGTCCAATGGGCGCGATTTTCTACAGCATCATGTCATCTGTGAGTAGTGGCAGTTCGTTCCTTCCTCCTCAAACCTGCAATCCCAGATTGCCCAGGGAGCCCATGTCCTTAGGGATGATGCTAAATTGCTCTCCTGAATTCCAAAAGGCACTTTATGTTAAAGTCAGAATTTCTATTTTTATTTTGTATCGGGAGAATTTTCAAGTTATCCAGTCTTTCGTATTGCCAGAAAGAGAGACCTGGACCCAATAAACATGAGAAGGAGCAATGCAGACTCTCTCGTGACCAGTATCCATCAGCTAGGCTTGTTTTATTCATTTATTCACATTTCCTATCATTTCACATTTATATATCAAAATAATCAAAATTAAAATTTTACCTCAGTGTGACCAAAACAAAACTGTGAAGGGGATTTAACCTCACCCTTACTGGATAGATAAATTAGCCAAAATAAAAATGTGGACACAAAATATGAATACTAAAACCAGAAGTTAGACTAAACATCTCCAAGCCAAAATGTATTCCCTACAAACAAGGACTTGATTTTCCCTATTAGTGCGCAATAGTTAAAAGAAAATTTAAGAGCCACAGTTAATTGTTTTTCAATGCAGCCAAAGTTAAACAGAATTTCAAGCAAAGAAAGTAACCAAAAAGTGGAACCACTTGGAACTTTTCAAAATGCTTGGGGACTGGACATTTGAGTGAATATTCGTAGAATGCTGGTGGGAGTGCAAATGGTCCATGCTTTCTGGAAAGACAATTAGGCATTCTGTTTACAAATATGTGAAGAGTGCCTTCCCCATGTTGGGCAGTGAGCAAAGCAAAGGCAAACAGCAAAGTCAACGGGAAGGGCTAGGTTTATAGCCAGACGGATCTGGTTCAGTTCCCCCCCACCCCCGCCCCCGAACAGTTTGGTGGTTTTCAAAAAATGACAGTTTATCTGAGTTTCAATCTCATCGGTAAAATGGGGATCCTAATAGCAACCTAAAGATTGTGGCCATGAGAATTTAACGACAATGTATGCAAATAGCTAGGCACATAGCAGCCTTTTACAAAGGTTAATTTTAGTCTTTCCTGTGCCCTAGAAACAGACATGATTACCTCAAGCACACCCTAATTTTCTAGAAGGAAAAACAAAACCTGAGAATGTCCTACTGTAAGTTCCTACTATGATGTCAAACAAGTAAAGCTCGATAAGCAAGGCTTAGTTCACACAGAGACTTCTGTTCTCTTACTTTAAGAAATCTGTGAGAATGTCAATATACTCAAGGAGCTCTGGGAATGCTGATTCTAAATCCAAGCCTTCTCCCATCCCACTGAGAGGCTTTTATGAAAAGCTGCTTCTTGCTGATGGGACCCTAACTCTCTGCTCCGTGGCCACCTGTCCTGCCTTTGGGGGAGGGCTGTTTGATAAGGTTATTGTTAGGCCTCAAAGAATCAGTAGAATCAGAATCAGATTCAGAATCTAAATTAACATGTCTCCAAAGAAGACACACAAATGACTAATAAGCACAGGAAAAGATGGTCAACATCATTAGTCTTCAGGGAAATGCAAAACAGAACTATAATGTGATACCACTTCACACCCACCGCGAGGACGTGGAGAGAACGGAACCCTCGTATATTGCCAGTGGGGATATAAAATGATGCAGCCACTTTGGAAAACAGTTTGGTGGTTCCTCAAAACATTAAACACAGAGTTACCATATGATCCAATAATTTCATTTCTATGTATATACCCAAAAGAAGTGGCAATGTATGTCCATGCAAACACATATATGAATATTTAAAGCAGCGTAATTCATAATAGCCCCGAAGTGGAAACAACGCAAATATCCATCAACTGATGAACAGATAAATAAAATAGTGTATCGATACGATGGAATACTATTTGGCCCTTAAAAGGAATGAAGTACTGATACGTGCTATAACGTGGATGAACCTTGAAAACATGCTAAGTGAAAGAGGTCAGACACAAAAGGCCTGATATTGTGTGATTCCATTTATATGAAATGTCCAGATTAGGCAAATCTATAGAGACAGAAAGTAGATTAGTGGTTGCCTGGTGCTGGGGAGTGGGGCAGGTTGAGGAGGAGAGGATGCTGAGTGACTGCTACTGTGTACCCTAATTTCACAAATGAATAAACAGAGGCTCAGGTTCTGTGATGTATCTAAAATTGCACAGCAAACACAAGGGAGCACTGAATTTGAACTCGAGCTTTTTTGTCCTTTTGTTTTACTTCAAAGCCCAACTTTTAAGCTGTTAATTTTGACAGCTTTCAGGTGACCTGATACCTTATTTTCCAAAAGTAACTTACCATATTACTTGTTTAGCATTGCCAAGTATGCACCTTACATAAGAATATTAATTATAATTCCCTACCTTTGGCCAGGAACCCTCTAAAGCACATTGCCGTTGGGGAGCCCTCTCTAAATGCCCTGTCATTTACCCAACAAGAAACTCATTCATCCTCCTAACAGGACAAAGCCACTGAAAGCATTCCAAGGTTTGACCACGTGCCCATGTAACCAAAGACACTAATTGCCAAATAAGTTAACCAATGTGAGAAGCGGCAAAAAGACATCCTGCAAGATGCTGAAGTGTTAGCTTAAGTTCCTAATAACGTAAACAGCATGAGCAGGAAACATCTGTATGAGAACAAAATAACTGGGATTTTGCAGTTTCTGCCACCAAACCAGTCAGTGCTTTAACTTGCTCTGGTGAGTTGACAAGGTAGTGCTCTCTGGTGAGGATGCAGGACTGCAAATGAGCATCCCCATCCTGAAAACCTCACCAGAGCAGCATGGAAGGGCAGGTACCTAAATTTCTAAAGGGCTAATGCACACACCAGAGATGCCCCTCAGGTTGCATCATCTATATTTATTTTACAATTACGTGAATGGGAGTTCAGGCTTGTGAAGGTTAATGGACTGTCTCGGTTGGCAACAGTAATTCACTCTCATCCTCAGGCCAGAACCAGAGAGGGAAGAGCAGAGTGAGTGTGTCGCTCTGCCCCTTGACCTCCACCATCATTCAGAGAAATCAGCCTCTGTAAAGGTAGCACACCCGACCCTGTTTATCTTTCCCATCTCCATGGTAACGTACTCCCAGACCTCTTCTGAGGAGTGACTTCCAATTGTGCTAAATTGAAAGTGTCTTTCTGACCCCTGAAACCTTGCTCATTAGAACTAAGGAAAGACCAGGAGACTCACAGTCAAAAGAAACAAATAATGGTCACATGGCAGAAAGTCTTTTTTTTTTCCTGCCTTGTCCCCAAATTGTTTAACATTATTAAAAGTAGCAAAAAAATAATCTGTCCTCAATTTTCTATATGAGACTACAGTACACCATGTTTTCTAATACATGATTATATTACTTCTCAAAATGGACTTGAGGAAGGCATAATGCTTTTAGGAGATGAAGTTCTCAAGAAATTATAAACAGGAGGTTGCTCAAACTATTTTTAAAAAAAATACACGGCACAGCTCTAAACACAGTTGGTGTCTTGCCCAAGTGGGAGTAGAGATGGCACGGTGGAGGGTGCCTTGGGTTTCCAAGAAATAATCAGGCAATGGCCATGAACCTGGAAACCTTTGGAGAGAGACATGAGAAAAGTATGCCACCACTTTCAGCTACTTCAGTATGGAAAACAAGGACTGAGTGCTTTTTCCAGAAAACCCAGCACCAGTCACAAACCATGTGGGTGTGTTGGTATACACAGACATAGGGCTAGTAAGATGAGAAATGGGAAAAGGGTACCTGGCCTCTTTAAACTCCAGTACAAGGGAGCTCTGCCCCTTCCTCAAAGAAGGAAGAACTGCCCTCTCACATCACCGCAGTTTTCTTGAGCACATATTTAGTTAGGAGTTAGTGACCAAAATTTAGAATACTCCATGGCTTCTGTGCCAGAGAAAGAACTGTAGAGTTCACTTGCATCAGAGCCGCTGAATTGAAATCAATACGTCTGGCTAGAGCCCCTGCCTGGGATAACTGGGAGACCTGGGGCAAATCACCGTGACCCAGTCTCCTTGTCTATGAAATGGGGTGACAGTGTCAGTGCTGTGTACCTCACGGGGTTATCTCAAAGATCCAGTGAGTCTGTGCATGGGACAGTGCTTCATGTGGGCACAGAAACCACCTGTGGTGGTGGCAGGGAGGTGTCCTGCTAAAACACAGATTCGGATTCTGTGGGTCTGGCATGGGGCCCAAGATCCTACACTTCTAACAAACTTCCAAACTCCCTGGAAGGTGTGCCAGAATATACTCACAAAAGGCCAAGAATCCTCAATAACGTTCAAGAATTATTTACATAGTGAAATCAGTTTAAAAAATTCTTAGAGAAAGCAAACTATCGCTTATATGCAGAATCTAAAAAAAAAAAAAAAGTGATACAAATGAACTTATTTACAAAACAGAAACCGACTCACAGACTTAGAGAACGGACTTTTGGTTACCAGGGGGGAAGGGTGGGCGGAAGGGATAGTTAGGGGATTGGCATGCACACACCGCCATATTTAAAACAGATAACCAACAAGGATCTACTGTATAGCGCAGGGAACTCCTCTCAATATGATGTAACAACCTAAACGGGAAAAGAATTTTGAAAAGAACAGATAACGTGTATGTATAACTGAACCACAGTGCTGTACACCTGAAACGAACACACCACTGTTAATCAGGTCTACTCCAATATAAAATAAAAAGTTAAAAAAGAATCTTACTAGAACTTTCTCCTCTGTGAAATGACTTAAGAAATGTCTTACCAGAGAGGGATTCATGAATTCTTCTAAATACACCCGACACAGTTTGCGATCCCAGTCATCTGTGATGTGGCCCCCGTACATGATCTCACCAAAGAGGTACCGGAGGTCTTCCCATGGGACCTGGCGGGAGAGGGGAGGGGAATCATGCAAACGTTCACTTCCGGGTTCGGGGCACCTGCCTCCGAACAGTCAGTCAGCAGCAAGCGCCTCTCTACAAGCCCCCACCTACAGAAGCATTTAAAAGAGGTTCAGGAATTGTCTGAATTGCCAGGATTGAATTGGCTGAGAATTATTTTCAGTGTGTTTTAATACATTCAGTGAGCTTTTAACGAAGCGGAGCTTTTAATGAAGATTTTAAAGCAAACCAGATTATTCCTAGAACATGTTATGCAGTTAAGGTTTACACGTTCAGAACCTCATCTAAAAACCACAAGAGGGTGTTGGTTCATAGGGCCTTTGAGGGATGACATTTTTATGATCTGATTTATACCAGGTTTTATGATCTAAATCAGGGAAAAGAAAGAAAAACCTATACAATTTGAATTCGGGGTGTTACTTAGAATTCCATCACCTTCCAAAAGTCCAGGCAAACCAAGCCGTTTGCCACAGATTGATTTGAGGGCTCGGTTTGTGGCATGACTGGCCTCCATGACTGTTCCAAGTGCTGTAACTAATGACTGTAGTATGTTTTATTCAAGGAATCACCGTATCTCCTCTTTATTTGGCTTCGCAGGGTTTGAAGCCTCTCTTTGCTACCCTTTAGCTTCCTCTGGGTTTGCAAAACATGCCAGTTTGTGATGAAGCCTTTCTAGACAGAAACCTTTATACCCTCGGGGGCAGTATACTGCCTCCCAGCAGTTCAAGTAAAAACTTAATTATAGCCTTCATTTGTTGCATGATGTGACAGAACAAGTAAAATTGCTTCAACTATTCCAATGTACTTGGCTACAACTTTATTTGAATTTGAATAATTTGAATAAATGAACGTCTTCCTTTTAAGCCACTTTGATGTGAATGAAAAATTAAAGTGGCTACACTGTACCATGCTCTCTCAGCCATGCCATGGACTACCTCCCATAGAACAGAAATGGATGGGAAACAGAGACCTCTTAACTTTATTTCTCTGATCACATTTAATTAATGCCTGCTATACATTATTATCTGATATATAGCTCCCTCAAGATTTTAATCAGCTAGGGATCTATTCTTCTCAATAATTGATTTTCTTCCCACAAATCTTTTTTTTACAAATACTTTTTTTTTTTTTTTTGTAACCCTTCCCTTGGCACAGCGTACAGCCTGAAAAAAATGTGAACTTGTTGTTACTCAGTAGAGGTCTTCCTGGGCATTTCCCCCAAACTGTACTCCACAGGGTGGGAGAAAGGTACTGCTACAGAAAAACAATTTTTCTTCCTACTCCCTCTAGGCTTTGTAAAACCAAAGTCAGACGTTACATAGCCCCATCCCCAACCTTAAATGTAAACAACCAAATGATGTTTTCACTTAAAGCCTTCCAACCTTGACATTCAAGAATTTCCGTATGGTGAGACTTACGAAATTCATATGGAAAAATATCGAAGTTCTTACAAGAGTTAAACGTTGGCATTCCCTAAGACGTAATCTTTAGATCTCTCAGTTATACTCTGTAACCTTGATGATCTCATCTAATCTCATGACTCGAAATATCATCTATCATCTGCCTACTTCCAAGTTTATACATAAACCTTCCGGAAAAGGGCATCTTGTACAACCAACCTATGTGGGCACGTCAACTTAATTCCCAGATCTAACTAACTTGCTTCGTGATGTGATGTGTGGTGAATGACTTGGGTCAAGACATCTAAGACACAAGAGCGTGTGTGTAAAAACCTAAAGCTGTCTTGATGCTGGGACACCTGTGGGAGAAGCAGCAGGACACAGCACGATTCAATCGGCCAACTGGTGTTGCCGAGCCTCGGGATGTGAGAGCCGGAGAGAAACATGAGTCAACCCCTCTCTTGCTCCCCTTCATTCCTACCTCAACTGTGTACAGGGTCCAGCTGAAATAGGATAATATTCCTGGCCTCAGCCTCCTGGGACAGTAATGAAGGACTTGAATAAAAGTACTCAGTGGTCTATTTCATTTTCTACCCAGAACTCTCCAGAACTATTATGATAGTCAATTCTACCTGCAACATTTTAAACAAAATGTGCTAAGATCAACACAAAATAGTATTTATTAGAATGGTCAAAGTATGCTCACAGTGAATTTTATAAATTAAAAAAAATGCTAGATATGGAACAGTGATCATCACATACCATATTAAAGCCATTCATCTTGGATTCCTTGGGAGAACACACCCATGTTACGTACAAAGTGTACATATTCAGACAGTAGTCAAACCATCTTCAAAGCTTGAGAAAACTTTGATAATAATTACCAAAAGAACAAAAAAGAACCATTTATACATAGAAACATGGCTGAACGGTTTTAAAGGCCCTTTAATAGAAAGTGTGGCCTAAAGCACCATGCCTGGTTGGTTCTGACAAACATACCTCGATTTTAACAGATTTAACTTAATGGAAAAAGTTTCCCTTATGAGGACTAAGCCAGAATATCCTTACAAATGATTCATCCTTCTTGAAATCCAGTCACTGAGTTTATAAGAGTTTACACAAATGTTCTTGATGAAGCATTCCCGTTCCCATCTGTAGAACACATTTTAGCTATGAAATAAAATCATTCATCTACCTTTAACTTCAAATCAAGGGGAACATTACTGAAAAAGTCACAACAAGGTGGCATCCTTAATACATAATAATGACATATGCAGGAAATGCACCATTATTTATACATGTGACGTGCTGTAAATTGCTTCCATCATCAGAACTAATTGTAGTGATTATTAATGCAGTGTTATGAACTGTCAGAATTGCTGTATGTAATTACATTTGTGCAAATGCTTCATTACCTGCCTAATGAATCTGGCATACATGCACGTGTAAACCACTGTTTTTGTTAACATAATGAAGGACACTTTTTTTTTTTTTTTTGCACTAAGCTGCTGATGTAGAACTGGCTTGACCCATCTCATAAAGTTCGAGCATCCACTGTAGTAAAACCTCACACTTGGCAGAGGATGCATACGTAGTGTCAGCTATTTCAATAATAGCTTCGAAAGAGAAATTATGGTCCATTTTGATAGTGCCCAAAGACTGACAGATTCAGTACACTCCTCGGAAGAGGTTATCTGGCCACTGGCACTTACGTTAGGGTTTGCCTCTAAGTAGTTGCAGAGGACGTTGGCGCAGATGGTGAGGTCTCCAGAACTGAACGGATAGCAGCGGCTCCAGCCCTGGGGGCCAAACCTCAGTCTCCCAGCAACACAGGCATGGAAGTAGCACAGAGAGAAGAGAATGCTTTTAAACTCCTGCCCCTTGGAGCACACTTCAAGTGTATCCTGGGAGAAAAGAAAGAATGTTTGATCATCCATCTGTATGGTTTCCAAGGGCAAGGGTCTGAGTTTTCAATCATCTTGCAGAGGACGTTGAGGGAGACCTAGGACAGAGGTAACATGCAGTTTTAAGCTAGGAGAGCATAAGAGAAGACTGTTTGGCATTTGCCAGTCTGTTGATTTAAGAGGAATGCTTTTATTTTGCTTCAATTATTCTTCTGTTTCACTAGAAAATGAGACAATTCATTTTGCCAGTGGTAATACTGCCTGACATCAATATCCCCTGCAAAAATGTTCTTGTACAATCTGTTTGACAAAAGGCCATCATCTTAATTTCATCACTGTAGTGGAATATAAGTTAATGCCAATTCTCCATTCCTCCTGGTTCCATAGTAATACCGATTATCTGGGCACACAGCCACTCATCAAAAAGCAATCTCCCAGCCCCTCTTGAAGCCAGATGTGCCACGTGACCAAGTTTTTGCCAACAGAGTTTGAGCAGAAGTGACGTATGCAACTTTCACGTCACTTGTGTAAAGGGAAATTGCTTCGTCTGGTTGTCGTTCTTTTCCCTTTCCTATAAGCTACAAATGATGATGACTGGACGACTTGGAAGCTGGGAGTTAGGTACGGTGGAGGCACCACAAGCGTGGGTGTGTGGCTGATCTCATGCACCAGGCTGCCAATTACGTGTGAGAGATTATCTTGTATGAATCACTATAATTTTGTACTGTCCCTTGACAATACAACCACCACGACAAATGGTTTTCTTCCAATGAGCTGAAAATAAAACTCACTGTTGGAATAACAGAACAGCATATGGAAGATTGGAAAACATATGTCCTGTAGAGTAGATCCGTAAGATTATTTTTTTGCAAATGCAGAGGGAAACCTGGTATGCTACACTGATATGGTTATGGCCCCCAAAGCCATAAAATTAAAAGGTGAAAAACAGCCATCTGTGTCTTAAGGGTAGTACTTTACCCATTCTCAAATCTGGCAGCCCTGTGAGGCAAACAAGGAAAAATGGAGGATGACTCCTTCAACTGATGGTGGGCAGCGGAGGAAGGTGAGTCCAAAACAGCACCTTCCTGCCTTGTCCTTTAAAACGGTCAAATTACACCCGGTCTACATTTGAATGGATCTGACAATGTGGGCATCTATAATACAAAATATGTTTAGCCCGTCTGGGGTGGGAGCTCAGATCTGGCCTCCCAGAGGCCCTTCAGTAAAAGTCTAAACCAAGCCTAGATTTGTTCTCTTGGTCCAGGACCAGAAGAGCATTTTAGTTTCTTTCTCTATCGCTTTCATCAGAATCCAGGGTTACCACCAAATATAGTTCTAGAATTGGCCAGGCCACATACACTGCTGACCCAACTAAATCACTAGGTTATTCTAAATGACTAGGCCACTTCTAGGAAATTTATGGGGCTCAAAAGTATACAATCATTACAAATTAACTTCTCCACAGCTAAACCTCAAGTAAAAGGCAAGCTTGTGAAAGAAGAAAAGAGAAACCACGTAAGTGGAATTAATGTTGAAGGATATAAAAATACATTGCTTTTAAAAGGAAGACATTTCTAGGAGACCAAATGGAAGTGACAAAATTTTATGATCTAACAAGTCACCTAACACCCTCCCTGAATTACACATAGTCCACGGAAAACCCAAGTACTACAGTTAGGACATTACTTCCGTCTATATACTTCATATAACTGACCTAAGTTTAGCCTCACTGCTACAAAAACCAAAATCATAAAGTCAATGCCCATTTCATTACACTCTGATAATATAAATGACATGAGAAGAAAATGTGAATCAGGCATTCCTAAGAAAAATACGAGTCTACCTAACATTCTACACTTCAGGTCAATTGTATTTTTACAAAGCAAGTGATCAAGTGTTTGTATCAGAAAATATACAAACAGCATTGTGAACAGAGAACAGGCATCCACACACACATAACAGTGTTACATGCACACAGATGCCACTTTTACGTGCACAATTACCATTATTTGTTTCTGCTGCAAATCTTACAGAAAAAGAAATTTACATTCTTGCTTCAAAAATCTGGTTATCTGGGGATGCAGGGAGCCCAAACATTTATGACATCTTCAAGAGGCAGCGCTACTGAGCTGAAAGAGTGTTAGGTAGGCAGCATCCTAAAGAAAAGGTTCTTTACATCTTGGTCACTTACTGATCATATTTACATAAATATTCTAGAATGTTCAAGGTAATAAAGGATCAATAGCAAATGCACTTTGTTCGCTATGAATACACATGTCAAAATTTGAGGATAAATTCTGACTTGGGGAGAAGATTAAGAGCACAGATTTAACTTGACTTGAAAATCAAAGCATGAAAAATGAAAATACCTAAACAGAACAGTTAACTTATCTAGATCCCTTAGGTGCTTTTCTCATCTAAGAAGGGCAGCCAGGCAATAGGAGCAACTGGGACCCATTTACCTAACCCAAATGAGAACCAAGGTAGATGGCATTCATCACCCTCTGTCCACGTCACAGGCTTCAGCAAGACAGGGCCACGGCAGCGGCACAGAACATCCAGGATGATACAAGGAGACTTGGGAGAGGAGGAGGTCTGTGATGGAGACCACTATCTGCCCGCCCTAAAGTGCCTTCCTGCTGACTTTTAGCTGGGCATCCACTGCCCAAGATAGATTTACTTTTCCAGCCTCTCTTGCAGCTAGGTAATGCAGTGTGAATTAGTCTGACCAATAAGTTGAAAGAAGTATTGTGTATTAACTTGCAGAATGAATCTTTACAAGAAAGCAAACATGGTCCCTTTGTCATCCTCTTTGTTCCTTCTCTCATCCTACTTTCTGGAACACAGCTATGGGAGCTGCCACCCTCATTGCCACTTGGGACCACGGCAAGCCCATCCTAGAAATGGTGAAATGTAAGCAAACTGGGTTGATGACAACTTTGTGGTGACACAAAGGAGCTCTGAATGACCTAGCTCCTGAATTCTCATGTGGCAGAAATACCTTTTTTAACCTTGTTTAAGCCACTGTTGTTTTGTACTTCCTTCATAATTCTAACTGATAAAAGGGTTCTAGAAACCTATACACAGATAGCCAGGGAGCACAGGCTAGTACCCTTGAATTACATAATCTGAATAAAACCCACATTTTTTCTAACATAATAACAGTTCAGCATTCATAAAAGACTCTTAAAATTTTTAGATTTTCTTTAGAATCTTTTTTTTTAAAACATCTTTATTGGCATATAATTGTTTTACAATGGTGTGTGTTAGTTTCTGCTTTATAATCAAGTGAATCTGCTATACATATACATATATCCCCATATCTCCTCCCTCTTGCGTCTCCCTCCCACACTCCCTATCCCACCCCTCTAGGTGGTCACAAAGCTTTAAAATCTCAGGTTTGGGCTAGAACAGGTTTCATGGAAAGTTTATTTAGTGAATCACATTGATTAGCTTTGCTTTTGCTACTTATGAACAAATTTAATCTTAATATTTCAGAGGAGCCTTTCCAGTAGATAAGAAATATTCCCCCCTGAAGTTCTTAAGACCCTTTTCAATAAATGTAACCAATTATTGTAAGGGGTTTTCCAAGTAGCAGTAAAAAAAAAACCTGATACTTTCCTAAATAAACTAGAACATGCTGTTCTTAACTGGGGAAGGAATTCATGCATAGGCTTTGGGGGATCTGGTCATCCCTATGATTGTATGCAACAATTTTTTTTTAGTGTGCATTTCCCTGGGGAGAGTATCCATAGTTTTATCAGATTATCAGAGAGGTGCTTACCAAAAAAAAGCTGAAGGACAACTGGGCTGAAGTCTGTTTACTCATGAATTGCTCACTTTTCACAAATAAAGACAATTGTTCTGGGAAGTTGGACAAATCCTATTTAAATACGTCAAAGTCCTCTTTTGTACTTACTCTGAGAGAGAGAGCTTGAGAATGTCACAGATGGCCAGGAATTATAAATTGAGGGAAGATAAAATACATGCCTGTCTTAGTTCGCAAAAAAGGATACTTCAAACATGTAACAGACTCAACAGAGTTTTTGAGTGCCTTTTGTTTACACAGCCCGTTGGGTAAATAGGCACAAACTACTCAATTATTGAATTGAGCAATTAACTGTATTCTTCAAAACTATATTCTTAGGTGGCCAATTATTTTAATGCCTTCATAATGTTGGTTTTCTCATCTTAGCCCAGAGGGACCTAGAGAAAAAGTTAAGCATGTGGGCATGTTTCATAGAGGATAATAACATTCCTAACACGAGGCTGAATATTTATCACCACATCATACGTGTTTCCTCTTTCGGGCTTATTCTACTTCTCCTAATAAGAATGCTGTTTACCAAGGATTTCTAAGAAATTAGAGGAAGGAATGGGAGCTCAGAGAAATAGCAACAAAGGAAACTGACAGACTTGATTATGACACAGACAGATGTGGTAATTTGAACAAGGAGACTAATGGTAATAGAACTATCATTAATTTATAAAGGTACTAATTTATTTGTTTTATTTTGGAAGGACATGAAAATGTAAATCTGAAGGCAGGATGCATATAATCTAAAAAGAAGGGCTTTAAATTGACGAATATCAAAACCAGATCAAAATATTAAGTCGTATACTAAAACTCCTGCCACGTCATCATTAGCGTCATCGATCTTCTCAACGACGTCAATAAGAACAATGGCTTTTTCTCTTTCTACGGTTAGAGATACTAGTCTGCCATGTTTGTCTTCCATAAGCAAGCTCCTCAGAAAGGTACGTGGTTCATTCTCGTTACACGCGTGGCTGTGGTTTTAGGTCTCACAGTCTTGTGAGAAGACCCTGACTTCAGTGTCAGACCAGGCTGCTTCTGCATTCTTACCTGATCAAAGTTGTCCAGTGCAGCATGCAAATTGGCCAGCATTCCTGTGGGGGGCTCATTAGTAATCTTGATGGAATTTTCCAGGAGTCCTGGAGGGATGACATGTTCATTTGGTGTAGGTGCAGACTCAGCACTCATGAAAACCCTGTAATCTCTGTGGCTTCCCTGGCTGAATCTTTCAAGGAGTTTCTCCAAGGTTCCGAGCCACTTGGCTACCAAATGGACATTCTGAAAAACAGCATGGTTTAGAATTCCTGTGAGACTGAAGTACATTACTTAAATTATAGGATTACAACATTCTCCTGTACATGAATGAGTTGAAAACTCAGAGAACCACGATTTAAAGTTTCCTTTACTAGCGCATTAGGGAAAAAAAATAAACCAAGTCAGAATTGAACACTGAACACTTTAAGTGCTCCAAATCACTACAGTTTGTCTTTGTGAAACAAGATCTCCTTCTAACACTCACCTACTTCCAACACCCGCCAATCACTTCTGAGATGGAGTTCTTGATACTTTTCTTTGTTACAGTTCAAACTCAATTGCTAAGGCTTATCTGGGTTAGTTTAATCAAGTATAAAAACTAAAGGCTAGAAATGCACCTGACCCCTACTTCACTGTTACTGACGGAAATCTCCTCTACTCAAACTCCTACTCATTAGTATATGAAACAAACATAAAAATATTTTAACAGTGACTTTGGAGTCAGGGAACAGAAAAATCTCCAAGCGAGCCATCGTTGTACACTGGCATTCTTTGGAATCCAGCCTGGGAACCATTCTTGAGGATACTGGCCTTGAGACTGGCTAGATTCTTGCGGCCATTTGTCCAAGGGTAGCAATGTTTGTGCGACATTTTTAGCCAATACACATATCTTGAAAACCACCCATTTTGCCCATGAAAAATGGTTTTTTTCCATTATATTAATTCACAAATCATCTGATGTGCATCTGAGACAAAGACAGTGCCAGTCTGCTACCTTAGTGATGGTTTTCTCTGGAGTGTGGGTTTTTGATGCCAACTAAATATCCTTAGAGGGGCTTATCGGTGATCATAGTAATTGACCGGCGCAGAGTTTGGTTAGGAACTCATTAACATGTGCATACATATCATCTGCCCACGCTGACGGAACTTAATGTAAATTACAAACAATATAACAAGTTCCCATTATGCTGGGCTTCTCATTCTTCAAAGAATGCCTCTTTTAACTGCCAATCAAATGTATCCTAGGAACCTTCAGAAGCTGCCAAAAAGCCTGGGATAGTCTCTCCTCTCCAATTATTCTATGTGTGGAGAGAACTAGTGAAAGTTACATTCTCAGTTACTGGCTTACCACTAAAAACAAAAATCAAAGGTCTAAAATAGATACCCAAAAGGAGATCCTTCACCAAATAAGGTCTTTTGAGACGTCTTTTAACGGTAAAACTTACAACTTGCATTTTTTTTGGGGGGGGGGCGACGGGTAGCACAGCATAGATATAAAAATAACAGAAACATTTTACTTTGACCACTATGTTCTCTTGAGGAGGACTGCACCCCTCCCAGTTTCTCTCCAGTCTGAGCTGCCGGATGCATGAGAACTCGCAAAGAATGTTCTCTTTTGTGGGGAGAGCTCAGCATCTACCCAACGGACCCAGCAACAACTGCTATCTCTGGAAAAACAAAACCTCCACTATTACCCGTCCGACTCTGTGAGGCTCCGAAGGGACACACCATCCCAAGTCCCCATACTGAAGTCTCATCTAAGCAGTAGGTTTTACTCTCCCAGAAGGTTATATTCTTCTTGGACACTGGGCAATTTCTTAGTGAATCCAATTTTATTTCAAGCAGAAACGCAGAATGCATCAACCCCAGATACTGGAGACATTAAGGAAGGCCAATGTCATATCTGCATGAGGGTGGCAGTGTGGGCTAGCGGAAAGAACGTCGCCTGCTGGCGGACAGACTCTGCCACTTTCCTGCTGTGTGGCCTTGAGGCTCTCCAAACCACTCTGAAGCTCAGTTTTCTCACCTTTATAATGGGATGACAATACCTACCCTTGCAACTTTGCTGTGATGATTAGAGATAATTTATCCTACAAGTTGCCTAGTAAAGAGCCTGACATATAAACAAGAACCTTCGGGATCACTGTGCTGCAAGTCAAATGGCCATTTCCAGACCTGCTGAGACAGCTGGCGCACCCTGCTGAGGAAGGAGTGAGCTTGGAGTTAGCTCGGCCCCTAGGTGCCTCCTAAAGCTTGCTTGGGCTCCACTGGTTCCTGGATTCTTGCTAGTACAAACTAAAAAATGTCACTCGCCATCTGGTTCTATATGAACGAAGTCACTAGCCACTGCAGTGGCTGACTTTCAACACACCCTGAAAGGAGTTCAGGGCAGAGATCAGGAATGAGGCTTTCTGTGCTCGGGGAAAATCTGGTAGAACAGGGCTTCGGATAGATATTTTCGGGAGAAAATTTTATGAACTCAATTCCTTGCATCTTCTCATACCTAGAAAAGCACTAAGATCATGAATGGAAACATCTGCTCCTTGTGGCTAGCAGCAACCTTCAACCGAGATGTGTGCCTGACTGCATGTACCCCTTCACCAAAATCACATAGATACTGACCTCTCCCCTGCTACCTCTTCGGATCAGTTCCTCACAGCTGAGAGGCTGTCTCCCAGGCTGTAGTCCTCATTAAGTCCCAAATAAAACTGAATTCACAGCTCTCACGTTGTCCGTTTTTTTTTTTTCGGTCGACACTAGAATCCCCAGTGAAGGGAACCAACCCCAAAGGACACTGGATTGTAGAATCATAGACCCACAAAATGTGAGCCTTAGAAAGGCGAAAGGGACCAAGTACTCAACCTCTTAATTTATAAGCCAAGGGAATGCGACACAACTAGTTATGGGCAGAGTCAGAGTTACGTGACATAATGAGATATGAAAAAACACTCTGTCAACTTTAAAGCCACATGCAAAGGAGAGATATTATGCCAACGGTCTTGGTATTCCATACGAGCCAGTCTGTCCTCAAGCACTATTGGAGTGTTCCAGATATCTGTAAGTCAGGAGAACGATGGGGCTCCCCGTAATATTTAAAATTTTCAAGCACAATGGCTAGAAAATCCCTCAAAAAATGGTAGTCATCCTTGTCAGCAGAGCTCCTTGTCACCCTAGGAGGTGTCATTACTGCTGAGAGAACCCCACGTCTCCCACCAGCAGATCACCGTGTGCTGTGTGAAAGGCTCATTCCCGCTGGGCAGGGGTGCTCTGCACTGCCCGTCCATGTTCACTCCCAGTGTTTTCAGGAAAACGTAATTACTCACTTGGAGTATGACCCAGTGTCCTCCTCGGGAAGCTTTCTCCAGGGCCATTTCTGCCACCATCTCCTGACCTTGTCCTAAAGACACATTGTGGAATTTTCCCGAGTCAGTTGTAAACCCAAGTCTTTTCCCTGTGGGAGGACACAACATGGCGAGAGGAAAAGTGAACCAAGGAGAGGTGAGAAGAGTCTGAAATCCTGTGGTCCGATGTTCATCTGTGGCCACTGCCGCCACCTTCCAGGTCTCTTTCCTGAAGAAGCCAAACTAAATCTCTGTCGTTTCAACAAGCGTCATTTCACGCTCTCAACAGCCACCTCCTCACAAGCATTAGCAAAACCTATGGAAATCAGTTCCTCTGGTTTTGTGGTAATAAAGCTTTTGACATTTTGATAGACGGCAAGCATTGTTACCCAGCTTTACAAACTCTTGCAGGAGTAGCAAAGCATTGCCCTCATAAAAAGGAGCAACACGGGGTAGATATCACATCATTTTTTGACCGGATGGGCTCATTGGGTAAATGCAGGAGCCCCTCACCTTGTGAAGCTGTGCTTGAATCCAGCACAGTCCGGTCACAGCTCTATTAACCTGGAATTCTCCGTGCAGGTCGTGGGGGATAGTAATCCAAAGCACAAAGCGATAGTGCCCTTCACACTCAAATAGGCTTGCTCTAATGACCATTATTTAGTCACAGGGGGCACAAGATTACAAGAGCATGGGGAAAATTGCCCTCTGGCCCTCATCTAGTCAAAAGGTGGAGAACAGTACAAAAGAAACTTGCATTATGCCAACCGGAGGAATGTTCCATTTAAACATTTCTCCAGACTACAGTGTTATTAACCTTACATTTTCCATACACTCAATCTCCAACAAATGAAGAAAAGGAAAAAGCAACTAAGATAACTATGAGCTGAAAAGAAGGCTGCGTTGGCGACGGATGAGAGGCAGGGCTGGGTGGCCAGCCTCCCGGCCACTCACCAAGGATCTCTAGGTCTTTAAGGGCATCTACCCCTGGGGAGAGGATGAAGAATACTGGGGTGGCTGGGCTGCTTTCTTCAAATGCTTTAACTAAGTCCAATCTGGTTCTCTCCACATACTTCGTACCCAGTTTTTCCTCCACGAAATTCCTGTAAAAAGAATAATGCCAAAGACAGGATCAGCGCCTCTGACCTTGAAAAGTGTCACAGCTTGAATCAGCTTAAACCACAGGCACGGGAAGGAAGCAAACTATGTTTATTACACGAGATGTTTTGTAAGAATGACAATATGAATCCACACTAGATTTATGCAGTTCAGTCCGTGAACTCCCTCTCTGCTTTAGAAGCTCTGAAAATCAGAAGCCTACCTTCCATTTTGGGGGTCTACCGAGACTCTCCTCTGAGAACCATCCAAAGCCTGCATACGGCTTTGTATCCCCCAAATCCCCTGCCAGAGCCCCCGTTACTTATTAACAGTTCATTAGATTTGCCACAGTGCAATTTTCCAGCCTGCTGGGCTTCTCATGAATATACAAATGCTTTTTGGGGTGTTTCTAACACAGGGAAGCTCAATTAAGCAGGGATTATTTGCCAGCAGCATCAGATTTAGCAGAAAGTAAGGACTACTAAGCAGAATTAACTTGTAAAGTAGGGTGTGGCGGGGGCTTCTGCAAAGGGAAAATTGGCTAAACAGACAAAGCCAAGGAAGAAAACCTGAGGCAAGTGAATGCTGCTGACAAAAAAGCAGCTCGCTAGGGAAGGAACCTGGGAACTCTTTGACCGTTGAATTCAAATTAGAATTAAGCACCGTATTACCAGTTAGGAGCCAAAAGGGCAAAGGAAAGGGACACTTAAACCAAGATGTAGGCAGGCATTTCTGCTTTTAAATCCTGTTGGTTGTAAAGTTATAGGACTATGAGTGAATCCACAAAAGGCATTCATTTTTTGTTTGATGTGCAAAATCTTTGGAGCCAAAGGGCCGCTCTAAATATAAACAATGGGAATCACACTTGGGTAATGCATGTTCCTGGCCTCTGAACTCTGCCAGCTCTCTTCCTAGAATATTTCCATAGGTTCCCTGTTTCCCCTATTGATTTCAGAATTAAGCTTTTCAGGAAGAATACGTTCAGTCTGCCGACAGACTAGCACACTGTTCAATGTTAGCAGATTTGAACAAAAGTAGTGATTGCAGTATTAAAATTTCTGCAGAATCACTTTTCATGAACATGAACCATAAACGCGTCCACCAGATACTTCTAGTCCTTAAGACAAAGTTTCCTCTAGGTTAACTTGCATTTCCCAAAGTGCTAACTGCGCCCACCTGAGAGCATGTGTCATTCTGTCAGGGCGCACTGCTCTCAAAATAATCAGCTTCTGTATTAAACTTCTTTTCTTCCACTCTTGTGGTAACTTTTCTTTTTCTGGACACTCGGATTCTGCCCACTTCCTCCACTGCTTCGCTGATCCTTCCACATCTCGGTCTAGGCCTTGGAACTCTTCCATGAGGGCTACTGCCTGTAATACATTAGGGGAACAGATGGGAATGGGGTGTAGAATAGCTCAGAGTTTGACATAAAGATGAATGTATCAAACCCTGTGTAAGTAACTTGTGCTGGATAGTGTTTGTTTCCTCTCTAGATTTACTCTGTACCCTTTCCTGCCCTGCAAAGAGGGTGATTGCTAAGGATGGCTTGAACAAAGTTCCCTGGATCTCTGGCCTGGTTGGGTTTGACCAATAGGGTTGGGTTTGACCAATAGGAACCACTGGCAAAAGGGTTGGAGAAGAGAGGCGAGGTTATTTCTTCCCCAGCTCTTTCCTGTGGTGACATAGTTTGGCAGTGGCTATGTTTCTTTACAGAATGCCACAGGTTCCAAAGGTAGGCTCTCTCCCATAACTTCATTTCTCAGTAGTTTCAGTAACTGCCCCTTTTCCACCTTTTTCCATCCCCATCCCTGGTTTGTCCCCTCATCTTTACTCCCATATTATAAAAATATACTCTTTGTTCAACTTTTCTTAAAAATCACACTTTCGTGTGCCATTTGTTTTCTGCCGAGAGCCTGACTGATACACAACTGAACTTGAACTTGTAATTCTAAAGTAATAATCTAATTAAAAATGCTATTAAAATAAAACCTAGGGGACTTCCCTGGTGGTCCAGCGGTAAAGAATCCGCCTTCCGATGCAGGGGACGCGGGTTCAACCCCTGGTCGGGGAACTAAGATCCTACATACCACGGGGCAACTGAGCCTGCTTACCGCAAACTACAGAGCCCACGTGTCCTGGTGCCCGTGCGCCACAACTTGAGAAGAGAAAACCCGCACGCCACAACTAGAGAGAAGCCCGTGCGCTGCAGCGAAGAGCCCACGCAGACAAACAAACCAATATTTAAAAAAATCTAAACGCACTATAAAAATAAGGAATAACATAGTTATTTTTAATACACAGAAATGTTTCTGCTTTAGAAAAAAAGAGTAGGGTGAAACTTAGCCTGAGGAATTCCAGAGCCTCAGAGAATAAACTTTTAATAATAGGATCTTCTAACAGAAAAATGCAATAAGGATTGATGACTGGGGTTGAAGAATACTACCACTTTTTCCTCTACAGCATTCTGCTCTGCTTAAACATTTTACAATTATAGTAAATTACTATATTGCTGTATAAATTAACAAAACTATTTTGAAAAAGCAGAGAAATATTATAAAAAAGAAAACAAAATAAAGAAACTAGATACAGGTCAACTGAAAAAAGATTATTCATTGGGTTGACCAAAAAGTGCCTTTGTTTCTTAAGTAAAAATAAAGGACACATTTTTCATTTTCACCAAGAACTTTATTGAACAACGTATTCACCCTTTTGTTCTATTACCTTCTGCCATTTTTCAGGCAACTTCATAATTCCATCTTCCCAAAACTCTTACCTTTTTGAACAAAGAACTGTTCCAGGTGCCTTTTACAGTCTTCCAGGGAACGGAAAATTTTTCCGATAAGAGAATTTTGTAAAGATGGAAATCCGAAGGTGCAATGTCTGGTGAATACGGCTGACGAATCAGAACTTCCCAGCCAAGCTGTAACAGTTTTTGCCTGGTCATCACAGAAACATGCGGTCTTGCGTTGTCCTGATGGAAGATTATGCGTTTCCTGTTGACTAATGCTGGATGCTTTTCATCGAGTGCTGCTTTCAGTTGGTCTAATTGGGAGCAGTACCTGTTGGAATTAATCGTTTGGTTTTCCGGAAGGAGCTCATAATAGAGGACACTCCCTTCCAATCCCACCATATACACAACATCACCTTCTTTGGATGAAGGAAGACCGGCCTTTGGTATGGTTGGTGGTGGCTCATTTCACTTGCCCCACGATCTCTTCCGTTCCACATTACTGTACAGTATCCACTTTTCATCACCCGTCACAATTTGTTTTAAAAACGGAACATTTTCATTACGTTTAAGTAGAGAATCGCTTGGGGAAATATGGTCAAGAAGGGTTTTTTTCCTTAACTTATGTAGAACCCAAACATTAAAGCAATGAACATAACCAAGCTGGTGCAAATGATTTTCAACGCTTGATTTGGGTATTTTGAGTATGTCGGCTATCTCCCACGTGGTATAATGTTGACTGTCCTCAATTAATGTCTCAATTTGATCGCTATCAACTTCAACTGGTCTACCCGGCTGTGGAGCATCGTCCAGCGAGAAATCTCCAGCATGCAACTTTGCAAACCACTTTTGACACGTTCGATCAGTCACAGCACCTTCTCCATACACTGCACAAATCTCTTTTTTCCTTTCGGTTGCATTTTTACCTTTCTTGAAATAATAAAGCATAATATGCTGAAAATGTTGTTTTTCTTCCAACTTTAATACTAAAATGGCTACACCAAAATTCACCAATTTTGAATAATTAATTAATTTCTTTTTGGCTTTGTTGGGTCTTCATTGCTGCACGCAGGCTTTCTTTAGTTGTGGCGAGCAGGAGCTACTCTTTGTTGTGGTGTGTGGGCTTCTCATGGCAGCGGCTTCTCTTGTTGCAGAGCACGGGCTCTAGGCACGTGGGATTCAGTAGTTGTGGCGCACAGGCTCAGTAGTCGTGGCTCATGGGCTCTAGAGCACAGGCTCAGTAGTTGTGGCACACGGGCTTAGTTGCTCTCCGGCATGTGGGATCTTCCCGGACCAGGGCTCGAACCCGTGTCCCCTGCACTGGCAGGCGGATTCTCAACCACTGCGCTACCAGGGAAGCCCCAGATTCACCAATTCTGATAAGTCTTTGTTTTAATTAATTAGTTAATTAATTAATTTATTTGTCGCTGCGTTGGGTCTTCGTTGCTGCGCGCAGGCTTTCTCTAGTTGTGGTGAGCGGGAGCTACTCTTTGTTGCGGTGCGCGGGCTTCTCATTGCGGTGGCTTCTCTTGTTGCAGAGCGCGAGCTCTAGGCACGCAGACTTCAGTAGTTGTGGCTCACGGGCTCTACAGCGCAGGCCCAGTAGTTGTGGCGCACGGACTTAGTAGCTCCGAGGCATGTGGGATCTTCCAGGACCAGGGCTCGAACCCGTGTCTCCTGCACTGGCAGGCAGATTCTTAACCATTGCGCCACCCGGGAAGCCCGATAAGTCTTCTTTTTAAAATGCACGCTGATATGACAGCTGTCACATACAATCTAACAAAATGGTTTTGAATCAAGTTAAAGACAACTAAGTGCTACCAGAGCCATTTACGGAAAAAAACGAATGAACCTTTTGGCCAACCCAATATATTCCTCAACTTTAACCAAAGGTCCTATACATTATACATATTTATTAACAACTTTCCCATCCATAAATAGGTCACAAGTTCCTTTACTTCCAAATAAGAAAAGGGAAACTAGTAGATGTTTGTGGAAATGTAAATTGGTTCAGCCACTGTGGAAAAGAGTATGGGAAATTCTTCAAAAAATTAAAGATAGCATATATCTACAATGGAAATGGTGTATATCACCTGTATTTTTTAAACTACATTTCTACATCTTAGAGAACAGAGATTTGAAACAAGATTTAGCAATTGAAAAATCATGTTCCTAACATACCTTAATAGCGCTCCATGACTGATCAGTTAGGAAGTCAACAGGACTCATGTAAGCGCATTCAACTGTGAACCGAAGCAGGAAATCCAATTCAAGAGGATCTATCTCTTTCTTTCTCAGCAAAACCTTGAGAGTACACAAAATTGAAAAGGTCATTTGGCTTGCATCAAAATCAAGGACGCAGTCACCACTTAACAGATATGATTGAACAGACAGAAGTAAGCCTTCTGAGAATTCCTATAGATATATATCTGTTCTGTAGTTGAAATAAGGAATCTTAGATTATGCTCGTGATCTCAAATTCTTGATTGGAAATCGAATAGCAAATAATTACGAAGCCTGGTTTATTTCAAATTTAATACCCGTGCCTATTAGCAGCATATCTGAAATATGCTTTCATATTTAGCCTTCTACTGTTAGATCAAACTTGTCTTGAAACTTGTTATACAAATTGAGAAAGCCTCAGATGACAATGGATTGAATTACTAAACAAAAGGTAAAACTAGTATTGTAAGTTAGTCCTGGTATAGAAATTATATCCAATAAACTGCAAGATGTATAAAAGATTTTTCTTATATGGGAGATTATGCTGAGAAAAACTGGAAATTGTTGTTTTACAGATACAACTAAGCAAACACATCACGAACTGAAACTTTAGACATTCTGGTCACAGAATTGTTAAGGAGTCCATAAAACACTTGAGTGGAGGGCACAAATGACATATTTCTAATTTCCTCATAAAAACTGTAACACCTTATAAAATTAAGCAGGTAAAATGTTTGAGGTTTGTGCTACTTAAAAATTCTAGATATTTTCAAAATGCATTATGGGTGGTAACGTATATCAAAATATCTTATTGGATAATTTTTCTTAATTCAATTTGATTTATTTCAACACACAAGAAATTGTCCAAATAGATATGAAGCTTTGATTTATGTAGACTGTCAGTATTTCAGATAGATTATAATTTATCTAGATATTCTAAAAAGAAGTTTTAAATAGATGTGCACGCATGTGTATGCATGTCATGTTTTATCATCCCTGGTCCATTACTGTTCATGAACAATATGTATAAACACAAAAATTTCAGCAAAACCCACAAACAATCTGATTAAAAAATGGGCAGAGGAACTGAATAGGCATTCTACCAAAGAAGGCATACGAACGGCTGACAGATAACATGAAAAAGTGCTCAACATCACGAATCATCAGGGAAATGAAAATCAAAACCACATGAGACATCACCTCACACCTGTTAGGATGGCTATTAGCAAAAAGACAAGAGATGACAAATGCTGGTGAGGATGTGTACACTGTTGGTGGGAATGTAAATTGGTGTGGCTACTATGGAAAATTGTACGGAGGTTCCTCAAAAAATTAAAACTACAACTATTACAGAATCCAGCAGTTCTACTTCTGGGTGTATATTCATAGGAAATGAAATCACTATCTCAAAAAGATATCTGTACTATGTTCATTGCAGCATTATTTGCAATAGCCAAGTCATAAAAACAACCTAAGTGTCCATATATGGATGAATGGATGAAGAAAATGTGGTATATATATGTGTGTGTATGCATGTGTGTGTATAATGTATATATATGTACACACATATATACAATGGAATATTATTCAGCCATAAAAAGAAGGAGATCCTGTCATTTGCAACAGTAAGGATGGACCTTTAGGGCATTATGCTAAGGAAAAAAGTCACACAGAGAAAGATAAACACTGTATGATCTCACTTTTATGTGAAATCTTAAAAAACAGAATACAGATACAGAGAATAAACTGGTGGTTGTCAGAGGTGGGTGCTGAGGGGTGTAGAAATGGATGAAGCTAGTCAAAAGGTATAAACTTTCAGTTATAACATAAGTCCTGGGATGTCATGTACAGCACGGTGACTATAGTTAACATTACTGTACTGTATATTCGAAAGTTGCTAAAAGAGTAGATCTTAAAAGTTCTCATCATGGAAAAAAAAATGTAACTATGTACGGTGACGAAGGTTAACTACACTTATTGGGTAATCATTTCATAACATATACATATATAAGATCATTACACTGAACACATAGTACGTCATGTGTCAACTATATCTCAATAAAATTGGGAGAAAACTGAAAAGAAAAATTTTGTTTTGTAATGCATTACTCCTGTTTATCACATACATTATAAAATGATTACACCCATATATTACTTTTTTAACCCAAAGGAATCTATTAATACCAAAAGTATTGAAAGAAGTGCTAATTTATCACTATTAACAGCAGGTATTTTATTTTATTTCATTTTATTTATTTTTTTAACATCTTTATTGGCATATAATTGCTTTACAATGGTGTGTTAGTTTCTGCTGTATAACAAAGTGCATCAGCTATATGCATACATATAGCCCAATATCCCCTCCCTCTTTCGTCTCCCTCCCACCCTCCCTACCCCACCCTTCTAGGTGGTCACAAGGCACAGAGCTGATCTCCCTGAACAGCGGGTATTTTAAAATGCCTTCTTTGAGCAAGGCACTTGGGAGGACACAAAAGAAATGACATCTTTCATCACAATTTGAACTGATAGAAAAAGATATACAGTAAATGAACTAATAAAAGGACCACATTCTTATTTCATCTAGGAATGTGGTCCTCAATGTTTCTTTCTCATCATGGGCACTTTTATTTAAACAGAATCTATTGCAGAAGTCCACATCAAAAAGAGTAAAAGGGTAGTAGGTCTCACTGAAGTTAGGAGCGTGAAATGTGGAGCTCCCTTCACCCATTCACTGTTTTTTAAAGGGGCTCTGAAAATCTCCTAGGGGCACTCAGATCTGGAAAGCTGAGCTTGAGATTCTCTCCAAGGAACTCCCCGGCAGTACCTGGGAGGTCTGTACAGGACCTGGGAAGGTGAGGCCAATGTCTTCATTGACCTGTTTTTCAGGATGACAGCTGATGTGGCTGCCCGAAGTGCAAACCCACCCAAGCCAATGCACCCTGACCTACTAGCAGTTTGTCATATGCCCAAGTTCCCTCTGCGAAACGGAAACTCTCCTCATGCTGCGAAGAGCTTCCAAAACAACTTCACTTCAGCGGCAGTACATAATAAACAGAGATGCGTGACTTTGGTTCTGGGGCTGCTTTTGAGTGACTGATTTCCTTACCTGAAAAGCCATCTGGGACAGAAAGGTGAGTTTGTCCTTCTCAAACAGCGCCCGGCTGGTGTAGAGGAAGACGGCGTGGGTGATGCTCTCGGTCAGGACTGAAACGCGTCCCGGCGTGTCCTCCACCTTGTCAGCCTGCTCGATGGCTCTGTGGAACAGCATGTTGAAAGCCTGGGGAATACAAGTGACCGTTAAAGGGTGACAACTGGTGGCTGGATGTCTAGCTAGTCTCAGGCACACAGGCTACAGTTTATCTATGGGGAGAGAGAACAGGACGGGTTTTACAAGGATTCTATGAGCTCTTAGAACAGCTTCCGGCACCTGGTAAGTGCTCATTCAAAGTTTGCTGCCATTACTATTATTTTTAACATTATTTCATAAAATCTACCCACATTTCCTCCCTGACCAATTGAATTGCACTGTCCTCTCTTCTTCTACCCATGCGCTTTTAAAAAATTTATATTTTTATTTTTAATTGTGGTAAAATACCCAAAGTGTAAATTTACTGTCTTAATAGTTTTAAGTGTACCGTTAAGTAGTATTAAGTATTTTCACACTGTGGTACAACCAATCTCCAAAATGTTTTCTTCTTGAACAACTGAAACACTGTTAAACAACAACTCATTTAAAAAACTCATTTAATTATAACTCCCTATTCCCTCTCCCCCCAGCCCTTGGCAATCACTGTTCTACATTCTGTTTCTATAAGTTTGACTGCTCTAGATACCTAATATAGTGGAATTATATAGTATTTGTCTTATTGTGACAGGCTTGTTTCACTCAATATAATGTCTTCAACGTTAATCTATGCTGTAGCATGTGTCAGAATTTAGCCTTCCGTTTTAAGGCTAAATAATATTCCACTGTGTGTACGTACAACATTTTAATTTATCTGTTCATCCAGTGACGGACATTTGGTTTGCTTCCACCTTTTGTCTGTCGTGAATAATGCTATGAACATGGGTGTACAAGTATCTCTTTGAGACCATATTTCGATTGTTTTGGGTATATGTCCAGAAGTGGAGTTGCTGAATCATGTGGCAATTTTTTTTAAAGAACTGTCATATTGTTTTCCAAAGTAATTGCACCATTTTACAATCCTACCAACAGTTCAAAAGGGTTCCAATTTCTCCAGATAGTTGCCAACACTTGGTATTTTCTTCCTTTTTCTTTTTTTTTAATCTTGTAGCTATCTTAATAGTTGTGAAATGGTATCTCATTGCGATTCTGATTTGCATTTTCCTTAAGATTAGTGATGTTGAACATCTTTTCAAATGCTTGTTGGTCATTTGTATGTCTTCTTTGGAAAAATGTCTATTCAAGTTCTTTGCCCATTTTTTAACAGGTTATTTTTTTGTTTCTATTATTCCACACATGTACTTTTGTGATCCCCTTTGATTATCTTGTCCTTTTTAAAATCACTCAATATTTCTTTCTTACTCCATTGTATGCCTTGGTAACAAGGGGGCTGAATAGGTTTTTACATATATCTACATATATTTAAATACATAGGTAAATATATCTAAATAGATATAACATAAAATATTAAATTTTTTGACTGGTGGACAGGGGCCGAAGACCACAGACTGACTGGCCTTGAATTATGTATATTTGACTGAAAGTAAAACCCTACAATGACAGACATGTAGTAAATATTGGTAAGAAGGTATTAACAAAGTACTCATTTAATATTTACATTTTAAAATCAATTTTTAATTTACACACAATAAAATGCACCGTTAAGTATACAGCTCGAGTTTTGACAAATGTATATACTTCCGTAAAAATCACTGCAATCAAAATGTAGAAACGATCTATTCATGTCACCCCCCACCAGAAGTTCTCATGTGCCTCGTTGCAATCTGTTCCCACCACGATACCTACCCCTGCCCACTGCTGAATGTTTCTGTCACACCAGATTCATTTTAGCATCATATAAGTATGTACTTGTAGTACTTTGTTTTTGAGTGCACATACGTTTTCATTTCCTTTGGGTAAATACTTAGAGTAAAAATTTTAGGATCATTTTGTAAGTGTATGTATAACATTATGAGAAATTAACAAATTGTTTTCCAAAATGGTTTTAACACTTTGCATCCCAACCAGCAACATGAAAGAGTTGCAGTACCACATCGGTGCTAACACTTGTTACTGACAGTCTTGTAAAATTTTAGCCATTCTACCGGGTATACGGTAATACGTCATTCTGCTTTTACTTTGCATTTCTCTGATGTCTGCTGAGCATCTTAAAAATGTGCTTGTGGGCAATATTTATGTCTTAGTATACATGCACAAACCTTTCTATTTTTTTTAATTGCGTTGTCTTACTATTGAGTTTTCTATTCTGATATAAGTTCTTTGTTAAACATGTGTATTGGAAATAACTTACTGGTCTATGGCTTGTCTTTTCATTTTCTTCATGTCTTCTCAAGATGATAAATTTTTAATTTGATAAGGTGCAATTTATCAATTTTTTTCTTTCTCTGGTATCCTAAGAATAAATCTTTGCCTAACCCAAAGCCCAAACATTTTCTTCTATTGTTCTCCTAGAAATTTTATAGTTTAGCTTATTCATTTTGAGCTCATTTTGTATATAGAGTAATGTAGTGGCTGAGGTTCATTTTATTCCAAGTGGATATCCAGTCGTCCCAGCACCACTTGTAAAAACTATCCCCTCCTCATTGCATTGTCTTGGCATTCACTGCAAAAAATCAGTTGACCATACATTTGTGGGTCTGCTGCTGGACTGTCTATTCTGTGCCATTGATCAGTGTAGTTTTCTTTAGGCCAATCAGTGTAATAAGTCTCGAAATCATGTACTGTAAGTCTTCCACATTTGTTCTTCTTTTTCATTATTTAGTTATTTTTAAATACTCTGCATTTCTACACAAATTTTAGAATCAGTTTGCCAATTTCTACAAAAAAAGCCTTCTTGGATTTTGATTAAGACTGAATTAAAACTATAGATTAATTTGGAGAGAACTGAAATCTTAATAATATTGACTGCTCCAAGCCACAAACATGGTCTCTCTCACCATTTAGTTAGACCTCCTTTAATTTTCTTAACAATGTTTTGTAGCTTTTAGTATGCAGATTTGTATTTGTTTTGTTAAAATCATCCCTAAGAGTTCCAAGATTTTGGAAGCTACTGTAAACACAGTATTGAGGTATTACTTTTATTTTTCAGTTGTTTGTTCCTCATATATAGAAATACAATGAGTTTTGTATATTGACTTTTTATCCTGCCATCTTGCTAAAAACTCACTTCAGCTTTTTTGTAGATTTCTTATGATTTTCTACACACCTGGTAAGGTCATCTGTGAAAAAAAAAAGACCGTTTTTCTTCTTCTTTTAAAATTTCTGTGTCTTTTATTGTATTACTTCACTGGCTATAACCTCCAGTGCAGTACTGAATAGAAGTGTTAAGAGAAGATATCATCGTTTTGTTCCTGATCTTAGGGGAAAGCATTCAATTTTTCAACATGAAGTATAATGTTAGCTGAAAATTTTTACAGATGCCCTTTATCACACAGAGAAGTCACCATCTATTCCCAGTTTGCTCAGTTTCTTTTTTGTCTCTTTTAACCAGGTGTTGAAATTTGTCAAGTTCTTTGTCTGCATCCATTGAAATTATTATATGATTTTTCTCTTTTTTATTCTATTAATATGAAGAATTCCATTGTGTGGTTTTTTCATGTTTAACCAACTTGCATTCCTGTCATAAATCCCACGTGAGCATAACAGATTATGCTGGCGGAGGCTGCTCTGTAGTTTTCTTTCCTTGTAATACCTTAGCCTAGTTGTGGTAGTTGAGTAGTCCTGGGCGGTTTTATTTTTCTCCTTCTACCCTGCAGCTGTTCTAAAATCCAATCCCACTGTGCTTCTCAGAATTTCTGCACGTGTTTCACATTACTAGACACTTGCTAGTTATTCGTGACTCTTCCTCTTTATTTTTGCCCATATCCAATCCATCTCCAAGGGCTGATTATTCTAGCTTCAAACCATAAGTCTATTCACTTCTGAGTCTTCTGCCATCATGGCAGTCATCTGCTTACAGCCTTTCAATGGCTTCTTTTTGCCCACACGCTATAATCCAAACTCCCCAGCATAGACCTCATGTGATCTAGACCCTCCTACCTCTCAGGACTCATGTCTTGCCATCTTCTCCCTCTCTCATTACCCTCCAGCCACATAGATTCATTCACCTGGAATCTCGAGAACTCTTTCCCATCTCACACATCCTTTCTTTCTCCAAACACTCTTTACACGGCCAAATCCTATGTAACCTTTAGGAATCAGCTATAATCTCACTTCCTCTGAGGCCTTCCCTGAGCCCCCAGTAAAACAGCCCCTCCATCCCTACTGTTCTCTCGCATTGTATTTGTCACTTTTATACACACACACAGCTACACATCTCCACTCATATCTGTGTTTTCCAAACTGTACACTCAGTAACCAGCACAGCATCTGGCACTATCATTGATCTCAATAGCTATTTGTTTAAAAACTGAATGACAGAATGAATGAATACTGCCCAGAGGCAGAATGGTACAAAGTAAAGAGCGTGGGCTTTGGAATCAGCCTTGGGTTCAAATCCTGACTCTTACAATTATGAAATGTGAATTCTTTGGCAATTTATTTAAAATCTGAACATGTTAGTTTTTTAAATAGGGATATAATAATATACTTTAATGAGATGTTTCAGGCATAAGAATGCACCAGAGTATGAAAGTGCCTTGCATGTAACAGTGGCTCAATCAATAGTTATTCTCACTTTTTATCCCTCTATACCAAAATAAAATGCGAAATCTTTTTATGAAACATGTACACTTTCATAAGGAAAGTAGAGGAGCCTCCAGCAGAATTCCCTTATATATATTAAACTCCTTAAGACTCTGTGTGAGAACAAAAACTATGTACTGTGATGTTGCATAGTTTATCTCAAAGCCTTATTGAAAATTATAAATGAAAGTTAGAGAGAAAAGTGAGGATTTTTTCTTTGTCTTGTTTTTTTTTGCTAGCTAAGTCCTGGAGACTCCTTACTGTATGCACTGATTGCTTAAAAATAAATTTTAAACTTCCAGAAACAAGTTGAACTCCTCAAGTTTAAATTTTTTCTTAGTCTAGTCATCATTACCTTCAAAGAGAATTGATAGATGGGGTTGATTTTTCTGAGGTCATTAATAACAAAATAAAGCAGAGATGCTCTTGCTGCCACGGGTCTGTAACACTGTCGGGCCTCGTTGATTTTTCTTTCATTTTCTTTAGCTTCAATCACCTACGGTGGGATCAGACAACATAAGTAACTTACTCGTCATATCGTCTATGTGATGGAAGGGACATATCTGAAATGAGAAATTAGTAGTATTAAAATGGATAACATGTATGGCATCTCTGTGCTTGGGCTTTTCTAAGATCATAAAATTCATATTTTAAAATAATCTTTTTATAAGCTGAGTTTTAAGTGAGAATGGACATAACTCTAGCTGTGTTAATGATTACAGAGTAAACAAACCTGATTGTTTTTGGTTCTACAGAATTTATTCTGAGTAATGTCACCTTCCTGCCTCCCCTCTCTCTTTCGGGGGTTAATAACCCAGCTATATCACCTCCCAGGGATAGCTCTGGAAAGTCTGCTGGGTCAATTCAATGTCAATAACTTTATTAGTCAACAAGGTATACAAAAGCAGCCAAGGTCAGTAAAATATCCAACAGCCGTGCTTACTAAAAAGCCTTTATAGAAAGACTCGTGACTGTCTACTTCTGACTTTGCACCAGATCATCCATATGCTCATATAGTTCCATTTAGTTTATCTTTGTATTAGCCTCTGGGTACATTCAGAGTGATAATTAAACACTCACACCATCATCAACTAACATATTCATTTTTATTCAAGACACAAATCTCTTCTGTCTAGGATTACTGCTGGTCCTACGGTTTTATAAGATACAGTATTTGTCCAACCTTTTTTTTTTTTTTTTTTCTGCGGTACATGGCCCTCTCACTGCTGTGGCCCCTCCCGCCGTGGAGCACAGGCTCCGGACGCACATGCCCAGCGGCCATGGCTCACGGGCCCAGCCGCTCCGCGGCATGCGGGACCCTCCCGGACCGGGGCACGAACCCGCGTCCCCTGCATCGGCAGGCGGACTCCCAACCACTGCGCCACCAGGGAAGTCCATGTCCAACCTTTTTTTTTATAGACGTGATTCATCATACTTGTATGTAAAAGAAAATAAAGAAAATGTAGAGGGGAGAGGGAAGTCCCAAAATGGCAATATATTAGGAAGATAGGAAGAGACATTTTAAGAGACAGTGAGAAGTTAACTTCAAAGCTAAGACCTAATTTACTTAATTGCTCTAATCTTTACCATTTAGCAGCCACCTAGAGTTCACTTACTTAAAAGGATAGAGTAACCTGGGATTCCATTTCCTCGCTTAAACTAAGACAAATATATTGGATGTGTGGTGACACAGCCTTGGCTGGGTAATTAATAGATTACAGTAATGAGGATACTCCAGAAAGCAAATGAGGGTTCCTCTCATTTTGAAACATCAGCATTTTAAGGGCTAGTGGCCATTTGTGAACGTCCGAAGTGCATGCAGAAGGCACACTGGGACACATGTTGGACATTCAGCAGGAAGTCGACTAAATGAACACTTTTTTCTAGCTTTTAGGAAATGTCACTTTCCCGGGGGAATAATGCATTTGAGAGCAGCAGGAGATCACCCCTGGCTCAGTCTCCCAGCACTGAAGGCCTGTAAACAAAACTGCAACTCTAAGTATTTCTCTAAAATGTACAATAGACCAGGAAGCCTGTGGTGAGACTGTAGGATGTCGGTTTCCCAAAGGAGGCTAAGCCTTTTAAGATTTTAGACTACATAAGCCAGCAGGGCCCAATTTTCTTCAAAAATTTAGTCACTCAGGAAAAAATAATAGCCTGACAGAGTCTAATCTGAAAGATTGGATCTTTGCTGCGTTAGGAGAAGCACAAGTTCAACCACCTCTATCTCCATTCAGAACCCCACAGAGTCCACTTTTTAAGGGCAGTTTATGAAAAGACCTGAATTCCACAAAGTGTCAGTACTCTTAGAGAACGGCCAAGTTGGATTACATTTTCACCCCGAGCACTTCATTCAAATAGAGCATTAAACCCCGCCAGGCAGCCTTTGCCTTTTCCTACCTTGCACTCTATCTCTGCCGCGGTGGCCTTTGCTCTCTCCAGGCTCTCCACCAGTTTGGTGTCATCTAGAAAGCTCCCCTCTGCCTCAGAGAGACGCAGAAGGAGGTCGTCCTCCAGATACTTCAGCTCTATCTTAAAGTCATTTTGGTGCTTTGTCAAAACCAACTAAGGCAAACCAAGCAAAATGTGAGAAAGGTGATTAAATTCATGTTTTTAAGCAGAGTTTCCTTAATCATCAATTTCATGGAATCATATATGATGAAACACACGTAGCATTAAAATTGTACTAATCAAAAACTTTCTTAATTCTTTAAAAAAAACATTCAGAAGGCATGGTGAGAGCTGGTTGCACTCCAGGGTCCAGAGCATGACCATATATCATTCATTTAACCTACAGGAAGAAACTTCTGGTTTCTGCTTCACACTGAAAGACAGAAAAGTCATTATTTCCATCCTCACACAGGAAAAAAGCTAAACGTAACAGCCCTTACTTACCCATCAGAGGACTGAGGTCACGGGGCAACTGCTACCCTGAAAACTACAGAGGTGGGTGGATCCAGACAATCACGGGTTCTCAGGAACATTTAAGTAGTAATCAGCTAATTCCTGGAGGCAGAGCTTGAGAGTTAAAAACTCCCGGGGGCCCAGGCAATCACTTGGGGAGAGGAAGCCTGGGGAACATTCCTCTATAACCTGGGCAGAAAGAAAGAGAGCCCTCTCTACCCTGATCAGAGGAAGAGATAGCTCTCTACCCTGGGCAGAGGGAAGGAGATCCCTCTCTTCCTTCTAACCTTCCAGGGCAAGTACCTGCTTCTCTAGCCCTGCTTTCCAGGACTAGTACGCGTCTTTGCCTGCCCTAGTCACCTGCATCAAACAAGACCTACAACTAGCCCATCTCCTGTGGCACAATCCTAACTACTTATCAGAAGTACCCTTGAGCTGCTCCTTGACTGTTCAGATACACCCTCAGTTTTCTCAATTAGACTGAAAGATCCTGGAGGGCAGGCAGCCCATCTTACACTCCTGTGTCTGGCACTCTAATCTGTGCCCTGAATAAGTGTTGGGGGAATGATTTCACAATTTTTACCTTAAGTTTCTCCAAATCTGGCCTTTCAATACTGACAACCGCTGCCAGCAGCTGGGCTTCCAGACCATCTTCTGTGACCGTGAAATTGAGGAGGGTTGTCTGAGCTTGCAATTCTGGCTTATAGTGAGGATTTGCCAGTTTTGTGTGAAGGATAAGACGAAAGCTGTGGTTAAATTCACACTCTTTATCCCCAATCTTGATGTACCTAAAGGGGGCATAACAAAGACAGTCAGGAGGCTCTCATGCACCATAACTGATATGAAGGTGTCACTCCATTCCTGTATTCTAGTAGTGTATACAGGCCATAAAACCAGGTGATTTATGATTCTTCATCTACTCTCTGTTTCCCTAAAGTGTAAGAGGAGGAATAGAAATGATCCACGAAACCTCTATATGATTAAGTTTCCTTACGTGGAAAACAGTGATAATAGTAGTACTCACCTCATAGTGTCACTGTAACAGTTAAACACAATAAATCATATAAAGAATCTATAACAACAAATACTAGCTTTATTTACTATATTATGCTTTCTGTGATTAATCTTATAAACATTGTTATTCTTTAAGGATAAACTGAAATGAGTATGTATGCATTTATGTGTGTATATACATACATACGTGTGTATATACATACACACGTAAAATCTATGTATATGAAAAATACACATAGACTTGTGCTTAAATATGCTTAATTTAAGCCACTTAAAATTAGGCAGAAGTGATTCTTTCTTCTAAGCCCCTGTCATGTGACTATGAGTAATGGTAACAAAAAAAATTTTTCAATAAAAATAAAAAACATACAAATTCCTTGGGCACTTTACCCAGTTTTAATACTTTTGGCACTGGCTCAGAAGCAAAGTTTAGGAAGCCTGTTGTGTGGGATGCATGGACAGCATTCTTGCAAGCTCCGTCTCACACAGGGGTGGGCTCTCAGCGACCACGCTTCTTTTTGTGTCCCTGTTCCTCTGGCCATGGGGACCCAGGAGCAGGTACTTCATCTGAGCTGTTCCAACAAGAGTAACCTTTCCTGGGATTTAGTATTGGGACAGAAAGAATGGAGAGTTGGAACTGGAATCTCTAAGCTCGTGTTGAAGTCACTCTGTCTTGCTGGTGAACCAAGCAGCAGAGAAAGACCGTCCTGGCTGCCCAGAAAAGAAGAAGTAAACCAGTATTCAGATGAAAGAGTAACACAAAGGAAGCATGTTCTGGACTTCCAGGTCCCCTCTTCCTTGAAGCCTGGCTGCATCTTCCCCTCAGTTGCCATGGCACCCTGCAGCCTTCTAATAGTCTCTGTTTTGCTTCACCTAGATAGATGTGGTTCCTGTAATTGCAAGCAAAGCTATGAATGAATGCGGTCTCCCCCGCCGAGGGGAGGGCCTGATTTTTCTCTACCTCAGATGCTGGTAGCTAATCCCTAAAGATGTTATCACCTGGGCTCCCTTGCCCTCCGGGTTTTGGATGGGCTTGGCCGATGGAAGAACTGGTGGGAGACAGCAGTACAGGAGGAGAGAGAGGTCCAGTGGATCTTGCCAGCTTCAGGGCCGTGGTCTGGTGAAGGCTATGTCCTGCTATGACCCGTTTCATAGCTCTGCTTAGAGGACCTAGTAATACCTTCAGGCCTACAGGTAGTAAGGGCTTCCCGCTGCTGTAAATCCTATGTACCCTTAACACCTCTACTGGGGTCCCTTTACCCTTTGCTCTGCAAATGCTTTTTGTAAATAGTCACTATGTTAACTCTATCAAACAATTCCAGCTTACTCTGTGGTCTTTTTCCTGCCAGGAACCTGCTATGAGGCTCTAGCCAAGGGGAAGTTATTTTTGCACTCATGCATCAGACAGAACCCATGAACTCTGGAACTTCTCAAATTCTTCCATCAAAGTGGCCTGAACTGCGTTGGAGTGAAAATTCATCTAAGGACCCTGGGAGCATGGCTGAAGCAAGGAGTATCTTCTCAGTCTCCTATTTTACCTTAAATACTTACTAAAATTCTGAATTCTTCCTTATTTAGTGTATATTTTCATTATAGAGGTATCATCAGGACAATGATAAGAATGTTACCCAAAGCCCATATTGTTTTTAATTTAAATATAGTGTTTTAAATAATCATGAGGGAAAAAAGTGACTACTTATCTCACTGACTTACGGGAGAGATGTTACCTTCCTAAATTTATCAACTTTGGTAAATTGGATCAATTCAAAAGAAAGACACTGTATAATAAGTTCAGCATTCAGGCAATGCTGAATCCTCTTTACTAAAATGTCACAATATTTGCAATAACTCTTTTTAAACTTGAGGAGAGATACTCAGAATGCCCTAATGTGATAATATCTTAGGCTGCTGTTGGTGGATGTTTCATAACTGTGTCTTGCTCTGAGATGAAGTCTCTTGCATCAAATAGTGAGGAAAGGGTACCTGATACACTGGCCACTCTATTTGACTAGGGAGATTTTTATAAAACAATTTTAGTGTGTAAAGATTATTTAAAAATCAGAGTTTTTTTAAATCGCTAAAGCTTTCATCACTAAATCACTGAGTCACTGAAGCTTTCATCATCACAGCTAAGAATCTCAAAAGATTGATCAGATTCATGACCTAGTGTCTACATCCATTTCTCAACTTTTGTTTCCATTGTAGTGATCCTATATTTCAACAAAAACTTTCACAGTTCTCCACAAACCTATGGACAATTAATCTTCGACAAAGGAGGCAAGAATATACAATGTGGAAAAGACAGGCTCTTCAGCAAGTGGTGTTGGGAAAGCTGGACAGCTGCGTGTAAATCAATGAAGCTAGAACACACCCTCACACTATACACAAAAATAAACTCCAAATGGCTTCAAGACTCAAATATAAAACAAGACACCATAAAACTCCTAGAAGAGAACATAGGCAAAACATTCTCTGACATAAATCATACCAGTGTTTTCTTAGGTCAGTCTGCCAAGGCAACAGAAATAAAAACAAAAATAAACCACTGGAACCTAACCAAACTTACAACTGTTGCACAGCAAAGAAAACCATTAAAAACAATGAAAGAAAAAAAAAACCTATAGAATGGGAGAAACTATTTGCAAACGATGCAACAGACAAGGGCTTAATCTCCAAAATATACAAACAGCTCATACAACTCAGCAACAACAACAAAAAACCAAACAACCCAATCGAAAAATGGGCAGAAGACCTTAATAGACATTTCTTCAAAGAAGACATACAGATGGCCAGTAGGCACATGAAAAGATGCTCAGCATCACTAATTATTAGAGATATGCACATCAAAACTACAATGAGGTACCACCTCTCATCGTCAGAATGGCCATCATTAAAAAGTCTACAAATAACAAGTGCTGGAGAGGGTGTGGAGAAAAGGGAAACCTCCAGCACTGTTGGTGGGAATGTAAGTTGGTGCAGCTACTATGCAAAACAGTATGGAGGTTCCTCAGAAAACTAAAAATAGAACTACCGTATGATCCAGCAATCCCACTTCTGGGCATATACCCAGATGAAACTATAATTCAAAAAGATACATGCAACCCTATGTTCATAGCAGCACTATTCACAACAGCCAAGGCATGGAAACAACTTAAGAGTTCATCGACAGATGAATGGATAAAGAAGAGGTGGTACATATATACAGTGGAAAACTACTCAGCCATAAAAAAGAACAAAATAATGCCATTTGCTGTAAAATGGATGCAACTAGAGATGATCATACTAAGTGAAGTAAGTCAGAGAGAGAAAGACAAATACCACATGATATCATTTATATGTGGAATCTAAAATATGGCACAAATGAACCTATCTACAAAACAGAAACAGACTCACAGACATAGAGAACAGACTTGTGGTTGTCAAGGGGATGGTGGGGAGGGAGAGGGATGGACTGGGAGTTTGGGGTTAGTAGATGCAAACTATTACATTTAGAATGGATAAACAACAAGGTCCTACTGCATAGCACAGGAAACTATATTCAATATCCTCTGATAAACCATAATGGAAAAGAATATGAAAAAGAATATGTATGTATAACTCAATCACTCTGCTCTACAGCAGAAATTAACACAACATTGTAAATCAACTATACTTCAATAAAATTAAAAACAAATCTTTCACAGTTTTTGGTTAAGTGTCCAAGCTTGAAAAAATCTTCCCAACAAGCTACTTTGGAAGCCTTTTTTTTATTAAGTTGAATGGTGAAGTCTTCAAGTTTTGGTTTGTTTTCACTTAGGACTTCCTAGTGTTTAATTTTGTTCCAGAAGGAAAAAAGCTTAATTCAGGTGGCAACCCTCTTCTAAGCCAGTATATCTGTATAATACATACTTTCCTTTAAAAAAAAAAAAAAGATCAAAAAAAGAGTATTCACATCACCGTTAAAGTGAAACACTGAGAACAGCAAGAGGTAAATGAACTACAGGCCAATTGTTAAAAGTGAACCAAGGAGTAGCTGCTAGTTAACACTTTTGCACATATCTTCCAGTTGATATGCTCATTAAGATAATCATTACCTTATAATTTCTTCAGTTATTTGTTTTTATCATGAAACATATTGCAACCAAATATTCATTCACTCAGCAAGCAGTTACTGAACACCTACACAGTGCCAGCCTGTCAGAGAGTCTTCTAGACACTGGGGCTTATAATCGTTACCAAAACAAGCATGGTCCTTCCTCTAACATTATTACTTACTCTCTCATAATAGGTATATGACTACAACATTTTACATACTGATTCATTTATTCTTTTACTTATCCAGTTCAATAAATAAATATGTATTAAGTGCCTACAATGTCCGGTCATATAAAGATCAAAGATCTGCCCAATTAAAAGAAAGGCAAAGGATCTGAATAGATACTTCTCCAAAGAAGATCTACAAATGTCCAATAAGCACCTGAAAAGATGTTCAGCATCATTAGTCATCAGGGAAATGCGAATCAAAGCCACAGTAAGGTGCCAGTTCACACCCACTAGGTGGTTATAAAAAAAAAAACAACACTGACAAGTATTGGCGAGGATATAGAAAAATTAGAACCCTCATACATTTCTGATGGAAATGTAAAATGGTGCAACCAATTTGAAAACCAGTTTTCAGTTACTCACCATCTTAAACATAGAGTTACCATGTAACCCAGTGATTCTACTCCTAGGTACATGCTCAAAAGAATGGGAAGCATATGTCCCTACATAATTTGTACACAAATGTTCACAG